GGTCATGTTCACCAAGTTGTCTTCTATGGCCCTCATTCAGGCTAGTCTCGTGCTGCGCGATTTAACATGTTTGAAGGAAATGTTAAACGGCCTGATAAATTCTACTCAAAAGTTGCAAAATATACATGATTACAGAGAAAAAAATCGGTAAGAAGTTGCATAACAGAGCCTTCTACCTCAAGATATCGATCCTACAAGCTTTACCTATTACGTAATCATTAACACCAAAACGGTACATACACACATTCTTTACCTGATACCAGCGACCGAGGTATTTTGTTACATTCAAAGAGGGAACGGTGTCTATCCCAAAAGCACAGCTGAAAAATACAGCAACTAGAAACACAATGTACTTCATGTCGACTTCTGAACGGCAATGCTACAAGCCAAGCACTTCTGAATGGTGACAGCGCGTGTGTGAAAAGAACGCAAGATTGGTCACTCTGAGCTTTATACGAAACACCATGTCTAAATAAGGTAACATGTAGCAGTGACTGTGCGGCCCGCCTCCCGTTGTAATTTTAAAATTTCAATCCACTGGGGCCAGGTGGGGCATTTTCCCTGATCATTGAGCCGATAGCGTGGTTGTAGTTATTTCAAAATCCAGTAAATACTCTTCTATTGTATGTACAAGTACGTATGTCTGTCAGCGGCTTTTCGGAAGATTTCGGAGCAATCTGACGAAGTGAGACTGTCGAAAACACCTCGGGAGAAATTCAAACTCCTTTTTTATAATTCATACTTGACATCGTTTCATTAAACATCACCTTGGAGTTAAAGAAGAAACCGGGGGGGGGGGGACAGTTAAAGTCTATTGGCTGAATTATTTATCGTATATTTTTAATGTAAACACCAGTGAAAAATTGAAATTTTTATTACATCGACGGCAGTAGTGTCTGTGGTTGCGAGAGATTATCGTAAATCAAGAGCGAATCAAATAATGATTTAATTGCTGTAAGCGGAATTTTTATGATAGCTGTGATAGAGTGTACCAAATCTTTTCAAATGATAACTTTGACGTTTCGTGGCTACGAGTCTTATCAACATTTAAACCGAGGTCAAGTTTTATAACGTTGACCTCTCCTCTGAATTGTGGTTTAGACTGAGGTGTATCAAATCACATCTTTGATTTTTTATTTGCTATATTTCTTTTCATCTTCAAAGCTACAACTGTGGCCGAAATGTCTATTCATATCGAAGAAATTCTTTCACTGTCTGATACGGAGAAGGCTTTTCAGCTCCGTACAAACATTTCTTGTCCTGTAATGTGGCTACAGGCTTGTTGTAGAAGTGAGTAAAGCCGTTTTCCTTTAAAAAACTTCTCACTTCCTCATCATATTGGCTTTTGAATGTTTCTACGTCTCTCGTCAGCACAAACAACATAATCTGCTTGCTATCTGTGACCACAGAGTACTGGTAAAGACCTTTTTCACCAAACGTAGGTGGTCCTAATTTTACAACCCAATCTGTTAGGAAGAAAATGTATCCGTTAGCTTTTGCTTCTCAGTAAATACATTATTGATTTCATTTTTTTTTTACCTTCTCGCATCGGTATGCTAGCGACTGGAGCACAGGCTACAGTACCCAAGCATAAAAGACATTGCGATATCGATGTTTTGCAACCGGCTTTTAGTGCAGTTGTTTGTAATCATTGCTTGCTGTCTTGCGGTATTCAGAGATCCCCAGTCCCTCTCGTTCGTTCGTTCACGTTCATGATAGTTCGGATCGTTCCCTCCCACCTCAGACTAACCATGTATGTTACGTTCAAGGGAAACGCTGCATCCCTTTCTTTTCGTAATAGCTTAGCGTCGTCGACACTTACATGAACCGAGGAAAGGTACGCCGTCCAGATGCAGTGTTAGCTTTCCTGGTTCTTTAGGGTCGGTCATGTAGGCATACCCAGTGATGCTGCTTTCCTTTCCTGTCGGTGTGTAGAGTCTCCCTCTATTCAGAACTCCTATTTTTTCATCTTTTCGGAGTGAGTCTGAAAATAATTTTGGTAAAAACAATTTTAAATTGGGCTTTGGTAACCAGTGGTATGCTAGGCAATCTCTTCAAGTACGAATGTTCACTTACAATCCGCTGTCACGCAAACTGCGTTACGCTCAGAAGTTGCCATGACTGCGGGGTCGGCGTACATCTGTTCACACACAGGGAAAACAAAAATAAAGAAAGTGAAATTGAAAGGACATCAAAGGGAAGGTGTTGATGAGAAAATTTCACTCTATTACACCCTAGGGAGAATAATCGCGTGATGTGCATGCGCACGCAAGAAACGTGAATCAAAGATTTACGATCCACTTTAACGTGACTACCAGCCTATTACATAACACTGCTCAAAGAAGAAAAACGAGCAGCATTTGCTGATGAACACAGATACTTTAATCTTTCGCCAGAATTTGACTACAGTACCTGGATTCCACTTATCACTGCCGAATAAATACTGTAAAGAATTACCTTTCTGTAAATAGGCCTTGTTAACTTCCTGTTGGCCTTTACACATCAGACGAAAGTACATATCAAACGACGGCTTTTTGCAAACTAGTGCTCAATGTCTATTGTATGGAACATGCAGTATTTTTGGGTTGACATTTTGTTTCCCTGCAGAGCATAGGGTCATACGCATGTATTCGACAAGTTTGTAACCTTCATTCAGGCTTGTATCGGCCATGTCATGCTGTGCGAATAAATGGGTTTTAAACGGCATCGTTTATGCATAATACAATCCTAAAATGTTTTTGACATACGTTATTGCACAGTTAAAACATTGAAAAGCGTTGCGTTGAAAAAGACTTCGTCCCTCAAAGTAGTCCACAAGCTGTACATGCAGTTACATAATCATGAACATCACAGTACACAGCTTTACCTGATACCAGCGACCAAGATATTTTGTCACATTCAAAGAGGGAACGGTGTCTATGCCAAAAGCGCAGCTGAAAAATACAGCAACTAGAAACACAGTGTACTTCATGTCGACTTCAGATGGGTAACGCTACAGGCTGAGTGTTAAGAGTTCCGCCGCCCGTGTGAATAGGACTGAATATTTGATACCCAGGGGATTATATGAAAACACCATTCTAAATATAGTAACATGATGGTGCATAAGGATGGTGAGACCCGCCTCCCGTTCCATTGTTTTCAATCCAGTGGGGCATTCTCACCGTCGATTGAGCTGTTGGCGTCGAAGATAGCCTACGTGTAGCCGATTCCTTCCCCCTCCCCCACCCTCTGACCCTTGGGAGGGGAAGGTACGGCTACACGCAGGCTACGTCGAAGATCGTTTTTGTGGTTAACAAAAAAATGGAAAGGCCATTAACTACTCTGCTATCCGGTTTGTAAGAAAGTAAGCCTGTGACTTTTCGGAAACTTTCGGAGTAACCTGACGACACCTCGGGATTTACTTGGGACTTACTCGACCTCTTTCGTTCGATTTCATCTTTAATACACGAATTTTGATCCACAAAAACTACTTGCTTACAGTTCATACTTAGCGTGGTTGCATCGAACACCACCGGCTTTCGAGTTTGAAAGACCGAATTGGACTCCACTCGGTCCTATTAATGCTTTTCGCACTTCTCGAGTGTTCTTAAAAATTCCCAAGTGCCTATATAACTCAACAATGCTCGCGGAACAAGTTTTTTTAATTTCTTTTATAAAATGTATCGTGAATTGCGCGCGCATGTACCGATGACGTAGGCTGCGTGCAGTGTATCTCAACAGTGCACTCGTGTGACGTAAGGCGCGTGCTTTATGGATTTATAGTGAAATCGTTCTGACCAATCGCTGCGCGCGCAATTCTCTGAACATTTTATAAACAGGCGTAACGCGTGCACTGATTACACTGTCCAATTATAAGCATGACGTTTACACTGTCCTGTTAGTGCTCAAATTGGAATGGTGATAACCAATCATTTTCGAGAATTCAGTTATAATTTTGCTTATGGTCTTACTCTCGCTCTGATGTGCTCAGTCCTCTATGAAGCAGTTAGTGAGACAAGTTTTATTTATAAAAATACTATAAAATAAATAAATAATATTATTGCCGTTTGCGAATAGCAGATCTTCAAAACGGAGCCTTTGATAAAAATGGAATTAGTTTGCAGCCCATTTGATTAGTCCTGGTCTTCGAACATGTTTTGCATCGCAGGAACTTTCATGTCTGTTGGTAATTCATTCCACAATTTCACTACACTCGTTACAATTTTCCTAAATAACTGCGTAAATTTGCTAGTCTCTTGCAACGATGGTCTGGAATGAGCCGTCCACAGATTAATTTAGTAGACTGGGAACTGAGCATGCCCTTGAAGAATGCAAACAGCTTTTTGATACTGAACTAGCTAAGGGCACTACTTGCTCCTGGCACTAGTAAAACAGTGGACTGATTAAAGAACAAAAGGAAAGAAGTGAACAATCCCATTTACGCCTACCTTTCGTGACCAACTTCAACAAAATGAAAAAAATGTGACAGTAAGATAAGTGATACGAAGTGTGATATGGTGCATCGAAACATAGCAAAGAGGAAAGCTAGCTTTAAAGAGCTTTATATTTGTGCTCCGTTTTCTACCATCGACGGGATGTCCCGAACAACTTGACGGTAAACTGATGAAGAAATCTAACAACAATGCATACAAGAAGTGCAACTGGCCTCCAATATGTCGCAAACCCTCGTGAACAGAACTAAATAAAAAATGAATTGTTTAAAAAGATTCCAATTCACGCGCGAATAAACATGGAATGAATGTAACATGAGTGCCCTTCAATTTATCATTGAATTTCTCTTCGTCCCCTCCTCGAAACGGAAGATACACTTTGGACTTCCTGTTTTCCCAGAAAGGATGAATGATTGACAACTTGTGGAAATTTAGCGTAATGCGGTTGCGAAATTCATTGTTGACCATGCATATTAAGAAAAACAGTGTAACACCAGCGGGAATTCGTTGTAACTGAAATTAAACAATTACGAAAATAATTTGTATTCGTGTCCTTTGTCCGGATGAGGAAATGACTACCTCTTTTTCAAAAGGAATGGGAATGAAACATTGGCTTCTTTGTACTTGATTAGTACATACATTGGCGTGACGGTAGAGTTTAAAAAGGCTTGTCTAGGAGAGGTTGCGACGTTAAAAAGCTCTGTTTGTTTTTTCTCATCCATAATGTATTTTCTTTCATGGAAACCTTGGAGGGAACGGAAAGTCCCGTTTAAGTGTAGCGAAAAATGGGTAATAAGCAATCCACGATACAAAAAGTGTATGAAGCTGCTCGTGATGGTTCTTCTGATCTGACTAATCATTTAAAGCGGCTTAACACTGAAGAAAGGAAAACTGCTCTCGATTCCAAGACCAAAGATGGCGACGAGAATACAACTCCCCTCATAATTGCTTCTCGAAATGGAAACCTAGACTCTGTAAGTAAGGGCAGCGTGTCTTTTTATTCTTTGTAGTGGAGTCGTTAGATGAATGCATCAGTAGCAACACTAAAATAGTACCTCCTTGCTCACATTTACGTTTTTTTATTAGGTGAACGAAAACTCTCCCATGACCAGAAAAATGGCCCCGCTGACTCGGAAGAGCTAGAAATAGATGAACTGTACTTTGATACGGACAGACAATCGCAAGCGAGAGGGAAAGAAACCGTAAATTCGCAGAAACCGTTAACAAGGGAGAAGGATCAAATGCAAGAAAGACATACACAAATGACGGAAATGAACCAGTGCGGGATCCATTTCCAAGCACAGCTGCAAAAGAAAGAATTGGAAGATGATAACCTGCCGAGGGAAAAAGAAAAACGAGAGGAAAGTTCACAGAGAAAATTGTGCGAGATAGGAGAGCACGCGCAATTACAAGAGAGCGAAGAACGAGAAGTTATCCAAGACCAAAGATGGCGAGTCCAAAAGACAACTGCACGAGATAGAGAGGTATATAAAAGACGCACAAGTTGAAGTAACTGGAAGTGGATTTGATGAGGGAAGAGGGGGAAGATTTGTTCCTGAAACCGAAAAAGACCCAAATGAGAATTTTGAAAGGGAAACGACAGAGATACCAGGTAAGAGGATATTGTTGAGGAACAAATTAGTAAATAAAAAAAGTTGTAGGGAAGACTGGCGAATTCCGTAATGATATAAAACTGATTCAGAGAGAGAGAGAGAGAGAGAGAGAAACCTAGACTCTGTAAAGATTCTTTTGAGTTTCAAAGCAGATGTTGAAGAACGAGGAACTGTGAAAGTTAACACCGACGAAGCCGTTGAAGGTTGCTCTCCTTTGTGGGCCGCTGCTGCTACTGGTCATCTAGATATTGTGAAATTGTTAATCGATCACAAGGCGGACGTAGACGGCAGAAATGCAACAAATTCGACTCCTTTGCAGGCTGCTGCTTGCAATGGAAATCTTGATATTGTTAGTTGTTTGGCTAAGAACGGAGCTAATGTAAATGCAAGAGATGAATTTGAGAGTACTCCTCTGATGATAACATGTTACAATGGTCACATGGATGTTGCTTCCTATCTAATCGAACATGGCGCAAATCACCATTTGCAAGACAAGACTGGAGACACATGTCTTCACTATGCTGCAGAAAAAGGTCACACCGAAGTTGTCGGTAGGCTTCTTTCTCTTGGAGTAAAAGAGAGGCAAAATAAGAAACGTTTGACCCCACTACTAGCAGCCAGTAATGAAAGCAAATATGAAATGGTCGAGTATTACATCAATCGACCCGAATGTACCAAGGAACAAAAAATTAACGCTCTCGAACTTCTTGGTTCCTCTATTGCAAATGATCCTGATTCTTATGACGTCGAAGAAGCATTCAGTTGTATGAAGCGTGCAATGGAAGAGAGGTATCAGGACCCGTCATGTCCATTGCTTAAAAAGAACATAAAACCTGTGGAAGATTATGAAAATAGAACAGAGAGTCAAACTCTTGAGGAACTTTCTCTGTTAAAAGATGATAACCATGCTATCCACATGGAGGGTCTCATGATCAAGGAGAGACTCCTTGGAATTGACTCTGCAGCACTTCTGAAGGATATCAGATCCTATGGGACTGTTCTAGCTGACTCTGAGCATTACGAACCTTGTATTGGTCTGTATAAGCGATCGATGGAAATAGCCATGAACTGTGATGAACCTATTACGTACGAGCTTCAAATGTTACCATGGCTATTTATATTGACGGCCCTGGAACAACGGTGCTCAAATGGAAAACACATTAAGGCAGTATTCAAAAAACTGACAGAAAAACTAGAGACTGGGAAATTACAAGAGGGGCAAGAAAATGAGGAAAACGAAAAAATGCTTTACTGTTTTCTAAATCTTCTACTGATATACACCAAATTTGAAGTTTTAGAGGATAACGAGGATGAAATGGAAGAAATAATCAACTATGTTCAAAGAATTCTGCGTTTAGACATTCGTAACCGCGATGGAAATACATTACTGCATCTAGCGGCATTTGATGCAAAAACTACGGGAATTGTGTGCAAGCCTCCCTGCGTTAAAACCACAAAGCTAATTTTACATGCAGGGTGTGATGTGAATACCGTAAACTTTGAAGGAGAAACTCCTCTTCATTTGGCTGTGACTTTTACGCCGGGGGATAAACAGGTGGAGACTTTGAAACAAATACTGGAAATATTGCTCGATATCGGTGCAGATACAAAGCTTGTAAATAACAAAGGTCAAACACCACTGGAATGCTGTGAGAGCGACGTGGCTCGAAGGATCCTGTCAGAGACAAGAGCAGTGGGTGCCATGGACGTCGTTACCAGAGATGTAAGAAAGTTTTAAGTTCTGAGAGTTCTTTCGTCCGCAAAATAATGATAACATTTAATTAAATTCTACTTTTTTTAAACTGTTATCCTTCTCCTTATAACAGAGAGCACTTTTGTCGATGGGGAGATCTATCAACTTTAGAAACTCAATCCAAAAAATTCATTTTGTACAGTAAATATAACAAAATTTGAATTTGCATTTATATCTTTTCTAATCAAAGAAGCTCAGTACATTAAGTTAAATTTATTAGTAATAATAATGATAATTATGATAATAATAATAATAATCTGTGCTGTTGACTGTTTTTTCAGTCTTTATCCTTCGATTTTATTCCTGTACTTTGAAGAGTCATCATGGGATAACTACCGGTGCATCATACGTTTATGGCTCCAGGCATCTTGTTTGGTGTAATTTAGCTATACAGATGATCGAATTTCAAATGTTATTTAAATTATTGACTTTTAAACTTGGATGTATGTGCATTATTAACATCTGATATGTATTTTCAGCACGATGTATAAAGAAACTGTTACTGTTATTATTGTTACTATTAATATCATTATAAATACTCATAATGATTCTTATCATCAAATCATTTTTTGTTCTCACCAAGGACGGACTCTGAGAAGTCTCAGAAAGAGAAGTCTCAGAAAGAGAAATCAGGTGAGTTGATTTTCATTAGAGGTGAATTTGTCATGATGAAATTTTGTAATTCATCTGCTATGGCGCCGGTAAGTGATAGTTTCTTCACCGCAATTGCTTATAAATAGACATGTTGAACCTTATTATGAGCTGATAGTCGACCGAAAGTAAGGCCATTAACCCGTCGGCTCCGTAGATGACCTAATCAAAAAGCAACCAGCAAAGAGGGAAGGCTTTCGATTGTTCCAGCTCTCAATTGGTTCAGGTGTTTTTACACGTTCACATGCTTATTTTCATTACTAAAATCCAAAATGACTGAAAGGCCAAAAATTTTTACAAGATATTACAGATAAGTTATTTCGACCTTCAGTTGTCACTACGAATTATAAATTATTATAGAATCAAAGGCCTCTTAGAGCCAGCTCATTCATGCTATGGCTTAATATTAAGTTTGTATTGAGTTCTTGGACTTGTTGAATTTAGGTACAGTTGAATTCGGTTCATGTTAACTTTCAAGACTTTAGGAGTAAATTTTCTTTTATTTCTGGGCAGTTGTGTGATAAGAAAACTTGTGCATTCGTCGTGATGGGAATTGGAAAAAAGGTTGTGTGGGCTGAAGGTGGGATGGGCAGAGGTCGTAAGGCGAAAGAGTCATTTTTGTTGGTGTGTGTGTGTGTTTGTGGGGCGGAGGGTGGGCTGAGTGGGCATAATCAGGCATCCAATGTTGCTCTAGCAGCAAAATATTAGTAACCCTCATCTTTCACGGTCATTTGTACTATTGTGAAATATTCCTTACCCGTTTCTTGATATCTTTTGTTTTTACCGAAGCGGCCATTGCATTTGGTTTTAAAGAAAGCGGCCACAATCGTTCTTAACAGAATTTCAAGCCTTCATCTAGTCTAATTTTCACATGATAATATTTGCATAGTCACCAAACAGATGAGAGATAAAACCACCAGAAAAGCAAACAAATGGCCAGTCACGAAAGGAACGCTTCGCTTTTCCGTATAAAAATTGGCCGGTTCCTAATGTAAGCCAATAAGGCAAATAAAGCACATATGTGAAAATCACTGTGGGTACACCTTTGAACGTTGAAAACATATCAAGTAGAAGGAACAGTCTTGGTCTCAGTACGCATTTTTGTCAACAAAATGAACTCATATCGGTTAAAAAAGATGAAACGTAAATCACGTCGCTTGAATGTAGGTAAATCGTAAATGGTGTTACTGGAATAATGCGTCATATTGCAATAGCCGACAATTTCCGATAATCACCCGACTCGGAAACTCGTTACTAGTGCTCCTCGGGCGTACCTTTAGCCGGTAGGATTTAGGCACAACCGTCTTCAGTTGGTATAAAGTGATCAGTGCTCTATCATTGTGCTTTTCCTCGGGAGCTCTTCAACATATGGTCCACACATCAATCACAGCGGCCAAGATAATCTCACTAATATTATTTTTCGAGCTCCAATATTTCGGTCTGGACTTGAGGCACGCTTGAACAAAAACAGCAATACCAATCCGGTCAGTACAAAATGCACATTGCAGACTGCAAACCGGGTAAAAAATGCAGACTGCAGACTGGGTACAAAATGCAGACTGAGAATTTATGTTTTTTTCGTGTGATTCGTGATAACATGTCATCTTACAACTTACCGAGCGTCACGCAATCGCTTTTCCGTGATCATCTTTCACGATTATTTTACACTACTGTGGAATATTCCTTGCCCGTTTCTTGAACACAATCGTTCTTAATGTGTGGATAAGAACCCGCTACGGGTCCCCTAGGTATAAGGACTTAACTTAATTAAAGCTTTAAATCAATTAATTAAAGCTTTAAATCAATTAATTAAAGCTTTAAATCAATTAATTAAAGCTTTAAATCAATTAATTAAAGCTTTAAATCAATTAATTAAAGCGGGAATCCCGCGCGGCAAAGTTGGGCGTTTTCGCAAACACTTGTTGGTTGGCTTTTCTGCGATAGTAAGGGCAGCGTGTCTTTTTATTCTTTTGTAGTGGAGTCGTTAGATGGATGCATCAGTAGCAACACTAAAATAGTACCTCCTTGCTCACATTTACGTTTTTTTATTAGGTGAACGAAAACTCTCCCATGACCAGAAAAATGGCCCCGCTGACTCGGAAGAGCTAGAAATAGATGAACTGTACTTTGATACGGACAGACAATCGCAAGCGAGAGGGAAAGAAACCGTAAATTCGCAGAAACCGTTAACAAGGGAGAAGGATCAAATGCAAGAAAGACATACACAAATGACGGAAATGAACCAGTGCGGGATCCATTTCCAAGCACAGCTGCAAAAGAAAGAATTGGAAGATGATAACCTGCCGAGGGAAAAAGAAAAACGAGAGGAAAGTTCACAGAGAAAATTGTGCGAGATAGGAGAGCACGCGCAATTACAAGAGAGCGAAGAACGAGAAGTTAAGTCCAAAAGACAACTGCACGAGATAGAGAGGTATATAAAAGACGCACAAGTTGAAGTAACTGGAAGTGGATTTGATGAGGGAAGAGGGGGAAGATTTGTTCCTGAAACCGAAAAAGACCCAAATGAGAATTTTGAAAGGGAAACGACAGAGATACCAGGTAAGAGGATATTGTTGAGGAACAAATTAGTAAATAAAAAAAGTTGTAGGGAAGACTGGCGAATTCCGTAATGATATAAAACTGATTCAGAGAGAGAGAGAGAGAGAGAGAGAGAGAGAGAGAGAGAAAGGAACATGTTTTGGGTTTTAGGTTCACGCTCTGTAAGACAAGCTGAAAAATTCCTTGTTCTATTTTCATTATCTAAGGAATATTCAGGGAGTTGACACAGCAGCTGGAAAACGTTCAATCAAGAAACAGAGATGGAGAACTGAGGGAGATGACAGAACAGTTGACTGATGTCCGGAGGCAACTACAAGAGAGAGATGGACAACTAGCAGAAAAAGATCGCCAGCTAAGAGAGAGAGATGGAAAACTACATGACAGAGATGAACAGCTAAGACAGATAGATGGACTACTGAGAGAGATGAGAGATCAGTTGACGGATGTCCAGAGGCAATTAGAAGAAAGAGATAGACAACTGAGAAACAGAGATGGACAACTAAGAGACAGAGATGGAGAACTACAAGACAGAGATGAACAGTTAAGAGAAAGAGATGGACAACTGAGGGAAATGAGAAATCAGTTGACGGATGTCCAGAGGCAACTACAAGAAAGAGATGGACAACTAAGAAACAGAGATGGACAAGTTAGCGAGATAACAAAGCAGTTGATAAGTGTCCGAGGGCAACTACAGGAAAACACTGAAGAATTTACTTCTTTGGAAAGACTGCTGAGGGCCAAACAGCACGAAATAAAGGAACTGGAGACGTCTCTTTCAGCAGCTCGAAGGGCGTTAAAGGAACGTTCACGCCATCAGACCCCTGATTGGGTCATTCCACGTGATCAGATTCAACTGACGGACAAATGCCTTGGAAAGGGAGGCTGGGGAAGGGTCATCGAAGGTAAATACTGTGGCTGTGCTGTCGCCGTCAAACAGATACACGAGTTGATTCTTTCTGATCACAACCGTAGATTGTTTGAGCGAGAGATGAGCATCGCCGCCAGATGCCGCCATCCTTGTTTGCTGCAGTTCATTGGGGCAACAAACGATGAAGGAAGTCCTTTGTTTGTAACAGAACTCATGGAATCTAGTTTACGAGCACTGTTGGAACAGCGGCCTCTTTCTTCACTTGAAGTGTCTGTCATTTCTCTAGATGTTGCTCGAGCATTAAATTACCTTCACTTAAAGAAACCATCCCCCATCATTCACCGCGACATCAGCAGTGCCAATGTGTTACTGTGGCGGCAAGCCGACCAATGGCGAGGCAAAGTGTCAGATTATGGCACGGCTAATGTTTTGCAGCAGACCATGACAGTTGGTCCTGGTGCTATGATATACAGTGCACCTGAAACGCATACTAAATACCAAACCGTCAAGGTATGTCTGAAATTTGAAAATTGGAGTTATATTTCTCAAATGTTTGACTGTGATTGCTATGAAGTTTATTCATGATGGGATCGAAAATTAATCTATGAAGCGCTGAGGACAAAAAACTCTCGTCTGATATCTTACTATAGATGGACCCTCATCCTTGGTAAACTGGTCGGATGCTTTATGTAATATCAGTCTGTAGGGAACATGCTGCAGGACAGATCATGAGAAACTTAACTTTAACCAGCTGAGAGAAGTCGAACCTATTTCTCTCTATTTCTCCCTTCGCTGAGCTAAAATGATTGCAATGCTTGTATAGCGACGAGGCAACGTTCCTCTGACGTAAGCAGACTGCTAACACAAAAAAAAAAAAAAACAAAAAAAGAAAAGAGAGAGGAAGGAAAAGATAAATGAAAATATAGGAATTTAAACTAGCTGGCATGTTCATGCATTTTCAACTTTTCATTGTTATTTTCTTTTCGAGCTTAGGTTGATGTGTACAGCTTTGGAGTTCTCTTTTGTGAGATTTGCATCCGGGAACTACCGGATCCTGACAGGCGCGACGAGCAAGTTGCCATGGTGACAAACCGTATGCTTCGAGCTCTTATTCGGGGATGCCTGCAACAAGATGCTGATGAAAGACCAAGTATGGAAGACATCATTGGTGAACTCGAACAACCAATATAAGATTGGTTCGGAAAAGATCTGCTTTCTATCTACACTTACAATTACCTTCGATCTAGAATGGCCTGTGTAAACTGGCTTTTTCTTGGCTCAGTGCGAATATGCTTTATTGTAGGACTTGCTTTTTGAGACGCCGAACGTTTCATCAGCCGAACTTGGAAAGTTGAACCAGCTTTGATTTGCGTGTTGTTGCCTTTTCATGACCATTCCAATTATCGAGTCACTCAAAGAATTTAAGGACTTTTCGGTTGAAGAAGACAAGTAACGATTAGTTATGCAATTGTTAGTTACACAAAGAGTTCGGCACATGATAAGTTCGGCATCAGAATTAAAGTTAGCTGTTAAAAGTCTAAATCCTTTGCAAGCTTGGCGAGAAGAATAGCGTAGGTGTTCAAGACACGAGACTGTCAGTTTATAATTCATACTTGACATCGCTTCATTAAACACCACCTTGGAGCTAAAAAAGAAACCGGGCGGGGGAACAGTTAAAGCTCACTGGCTGAATTATTTATTGTATATTTTTGTTGTAAACACTAGTGAAAAATTGAAATTTTTATTACATCGACGGCAGTAGTGTCTGTAGTTGCAAGAGATTATCGTAAATCAAGAACGAATCAAATAACGATTTAATTGCGGTCTCTTTCAACTAACTGTCTAACCGGGATTTTTATAGCACCTTAGTCCTATGATTGTAAATGGGTGGGGGTTGTCATGTGACCATTCTTGCCTATGCCTCTTTTCATTTTCAACGGTTACTTAAAAGCGGAATTTTCATGATAGCTGTAATAGAGTGTATCAAATCTTTTCAAATGATAACTCTGACGTTTCATGGCTACGAGTCTTAACATTTTAAATCGAGATCAAGTTTTATAACGTTGACCTCTCCTCTGAATTGTGGTTTAGACTGAGGTGTATCAAATCACATCACATCTTTGATTTTTTATTTGCTATATTTCTTTTCATCTTCAAAACTACAAGGGAAACGCTGCATTTCTTTTCATCTTCAAAACTACAACTGTGGCCGAAATGTCTATTCATTTCGAAGAAATTCTTTCACTGTCTGATACGGAGAAGGCTTTTCAGCTCCGTACAAACATTTCTTGTCCTGTAATGTGGCTACAGGCTTGTTGTAGAAGTGAGTAAAGCCGTTTTCCTTTAAAAAACTTCTCACTTCTTCATCATATTGGCTTTTGAATATTTCTACGTCTCTCGTCAGCACAAACAACATAATCTGCTTGCTATCTGTGACCACAGAGTACTGGTAAAGACCTTTTTCACCAAACGTAGGTGGTCCTAGTTTTACCACCCAATCTTTTAAGAAGAAAACGCATCCGTTAGCTTTTGCTTGTCAGTAAATACATTAAATTATTATTATTATTTTTTTACCTTCTCGCATCGGTATGCTAGCGACTGGAGCGCAGGCTACAGTACCCAAGCATAAAAGACATTGCGACATCGGTGTTTTGCAACCGGCTTTTTGCACAGTTGTGTGTCCCAGTCCCTCTCGTTCGTTCGTTCTCGTTCATGATAGTTCGGATCGTTCCCTCCCACCTCAGACTAACCATGTATGTTAAGTTCAAGGGAAACGCTGCATCCTTTTCTTTACGTAATAGCTTAGCGTCGTTTACACTTACATGAAGCGAGGATAGGTACGCCGTCCAGATGCAGTGTTAGCTTTCCTGGTTCGTCGGGGTTGGTCATGTAGGCATACCCAGTGATGCTGCTTTCCTTTCCTGTCGGTTTGCAGAGTCTCCCTCTATTCAGAACTCCTATTTTTTCATCTTTCCGGAGTGAATCTGAAAATAATTTTGGTAAGAACAATTTTAAATTGGGCTTTGGTAACCAGTGGTATGTCAGACAAACTTTTTAAGTACGAATGTTCACTTACAATCCGCTGTCACGCAAACTTGGTTACGCTCAGAAGTAACCATAACTGCAGGGTCGGCATATACCTATTCGCACAGAAAAATAAAGAAAATGAAATTGAAATGACATCAAAGGAAATGATATCAAAGGGGAGGTGCTGATGAAAAAGTTTACACTATTTCACGCTAGGGGAATAATCGCGTGATATGCATGCGCAGGAAAGAAAACGTGAATGAAAGATTTACGATCCACTTTAACGTGACCATCAGCTCAAAAGATGAAAAACGAGGAGCATTTGCTGATGAACACAGATACTTTAATTTTTCGCCAACTTTGATCACAGTATATGGAATTTTACTAATCGTTGCCGAGTAAATACTGTAATCAATTACCTTTTTGTAAAAAGGCCTTGTTAACTTCCTATCGGCCATTACGCATCAGAGCCCAGCTGTTCGAAGGCTGATTAGCGCTAACCCAGGGTTAAAATTTTATCTTGGTTTCTTTATCCCTTTGTTTGAAAGTCTTTCTCTAATAATTTTCTCTCTTCTTTGAAGGGCATCCAGTCATCAAGTTGTAGACAAAAATAATTGTATTGAATTTTCTTTTAAAGCTTTCAGATCTTAAACTAGATTTCTCACAAACCCTGAGTTATCTTAACCAAGCTTTGAACAACCAGGCCCAGACGAAAGTACATATCAAACGACAACTTTTTGCAAACTAGTGCGCAATGTCTATTGTATGGAACATGCAGTATTGTAAGGTTGATATTTTGCTTTCATGCAGAGCATAGGGTCATACACATGTATTCGACAAGTTTTTAAACCTTCACTCAGTTTGTATCGGCCATGTCGTTCTGTGCGAATAAATGGGTATAAACGGCATCGCTTATGCCTAATAAATTCTCAAAAGGTTTTTGAAATACATTATCGCACAGTTAAAATGTTGGAAAGCGTTGCGTTGAAAGAGACTTCGTCCCTCAAAGTAGTCCACAAGTAATACACGTGGTTACATAATCATGAACCATCACAGTACACAGCTTTACCTGATACCAGCGACCAAGATATTTTGTCACATTCAAAGAAGGAACGGTGTCTATGCCGAAAGCACAGCTGAAAAATACAGCAACTAGAATCACAGCGTACTTCATGTCGACTTCTGAAGGGCAACGCCACAAGATGAGTGATGTCTGTTCCGCTACGTGTGTGAATAAGACTAAATATATGTTACCCAAGTGATTACATGAAACATCATTTCTAAATATAGTAACATGACAATGCGTGACGGTCGTGAGACCCGCCTCCCGTACCATTGTCTTCAATCTGGTGGGGCATTCTCACCGTTGATTGAGCTGTTGGCGTCGGAGAAATAAAAGAAATAGAAAAGCCTGTGACTTTTAGGAAACTTTCAGAGTAACCTGGCGACACCTCGGGATTTACTCGGCACTTACTCGACCTCTTTCGTGTCGATTTCATCTTTAATACACGAATTTTCATCCACAAAAACTACTTTCTCACAGTTCATACTTAGTGTCGTGCACCACCTTTCGAGTTAAAAAAAAACCGTGGGTCCAGTCCATGCTCACTGGCGTTGTTGCGTCGAACACCACCTTTCGAGTTTACAAGATATATTGGAGGAGTGATTGCACGTATAGATAAATCATCTCGTTGCGTGTAAGAAAAGGAAATGTTACGCCTAAACTGTGCTAAATCAATGACGATCACACAAAGTCAAAAAAGCTAAACATCAACGAGTATGAAGGGGTAGGGAGGAAGTGATGGGTAAAATTTCTCAATATGTAATAATTATAATCATCAAAAGGAAGTGACTTAGACTCAATCAGATCAAATGAACTTAACCGGTGATGAGAAACTGAGTACTAACGATATGTAATATTTGTGATGAATGTCCTGTAGACATTACGCATTATTTTGCAAAAAGACAAAACGTTATTTACTTTTATCTGATGAGTAATGGCCGATCCGAAGTTAATAAGGCCTATGTACCAAGAAGTAATTGTTTACAGCATTTGATATTTGCTCTGCAGTAATTAATATAATCAATATTTCAAAGTGTGGAGAAAAATTTTAGTGTCTGGGTTCCTAAGAAAATGCGCGTCGTTTTCAATCTTTGAGCAGTGTTATGTAATGTGATGGCTGACTCACGTTTCCTTGCGAGCGCTCGCAAATCACGAGATTATTAGTCTAAGCGTGTTATAGTGTGAAATATTTCATCAACACCTTCACATCGACTTAATGTTTTTTTTCTTATGGCAGCTTCTGAGCGTGATGTAGTACGCGTGACACCGGCCCTTACTCCAACCCTAACCTCACCCCTGCATAGACTCTTACGTGACCAATATTATAGACCCCCTCTCAGTCACCAATAGGCAAATGTTACTTTTTGCTATCCCAGCTTCGTTATTCTCTGTTTATGTTTCCAACTTATTCTTAAATACCTACTTATCAGAATCGTCCTACCCTGAAAATGTGTGACCCCACATTCTAGTAACTTTATTGAAAATGTAGCCCTAAGCAACTGGTTGGCACATGTTGGATCGACATCAACAGGCAGGCTGTTCAATCCTGCTGGGCGGAGGACCTTGACTGCCTCATGATTCTAACGTCACGGAAGGGTCCAAGAGCAGCGAAGCAAAGGAATCATTGAGTTCACAAGTTTTTACACTTTCCAGTGAACGTCATACCACAATAGAGGGATCAGGAACATTTTCTTGGAATGACAATGACTACTATTTTTTTCACTCTCTTGGAACACGTTCACGACTTAACTCCTCAGGCGACGTCATGCTTTTAAAAAACTACTGTCGACGTCATCAGCTCCGGAGATCAGGAGATGCAACATGGGGCGGTCTCCACCCATGACTATTACGTTGCATGTCACCATATTTTGAAACAGTGTATAATATATATCCCATTACCTGCTGTATTTCGTGCTATACACTAACGTAATGGAACTCCTATCCCTCAGCTTGCAGGATTACCCTTCAGAAGTTGACATGAAATACCCTGTGTTTCTAGTTGCTGTATTTAATTTTTCAGCTGTGCTTTTGGATACACATCATCCCCTCTTTGATTATATCAAAATATCTTAGATTTTTATTGGGTCACGAAAACAAAATAGCCCTGATCCCCCCCTACAAGAGGGTCTCAATGGGATGATGGCTTTTGCGATTGAGATTAAAATTTTTGGCCATTTCACGGCTACGGTTAACCCAAAATGACACGAAAGGATACATTGTTATAAGGAAAAATGTTTACGGTTAACATTCTTTGCGACTAACAGTTAAAATTTGTCAATTTTTACACCCTAACGGCTAAATTTCACTATGCTTCTCACCAGGGGTTAAAGTTAGGGCTTGGAGGGTTAAGGTCGGCGATAAAAACTGAATAAAGTATACGGGGGAGCGACGAAATCGGTGATTCTGTCAAATTTCAAATAGGAGGGAGGAATGGGGGGTAGGGGGAGGAAGCGGACAAGAAGCCGTTCGTAAAAAGAATTCACAGAGAACTTGTGCAAAACCCCGAAAAAAAGTGTAGTTTGTACTTAAAAGTAGAGGTCTTTCGTCCAGTTACACTAACATTATTGTGTTGTGACGATAATGCACCCGGCAGCGAACGCAATGCACCGGGCATTGCCCAAAATCCAGCGCGCGTTAGGCCATGATGCCCCGCGTACCAGGGTAAATGCATTACACGCTGATAAGCCTCGCTTTAAACTGAAGACACAAGACCTTAAGGGGAAAGCTATAGTTTAAGCGATCTTAGGGTAAGTGTATGTAACTCTTCGTTGTGCACAATGATAACTGGAATCTTAGATAATGCTTTGCATGTGTTGTCAGCAACTAACTCCCAATTACAGATCGTTCCTCGGCCCTAACACATCCCATTGTTTTGTCATTTCATTCCATAAGATTTTTTGATACAGTGTGCGGAGTTCCACCTCCACAGCTTTAAGGCAAAATTCAACAAATAGCAGATGACAGCATCGACGAATTGTTCTAGAATTCTACTAATATTCTGTGTACATAACTGATAATCGTAAATATTTGTATTATTGGATAGCAATTTTGGGTTAGAGCTGGTCGATTATTTTGTAACATCTGACAATACTTTCTCGTCGTCCTTCTTATTCCCGTGGACTAAAACTGTTGATCATCCTTTAAGTAGAGCCATTTTGGTGAAATTCTGATAAAAGAAAAAGCCTGCGTCTGAGGTTTTCGTGCGCGGTAATTTTAGCTGTTAGTTTGACCAATCGTCATTAGCTCTTTTGAACGTTTTCCTTTACTAAGGTAAGTGACAGCTGCTGTTCTTGCGATTATTGCATTCAAATCACGAATCAATGGGCTTACCGCATTGGAATTTTTTTTTCTGATAATTTTACGGATTTCATTGTGCGTGGCGCGCACACAGTCGACCGTGCTCCAGAAACTTTCTTCCCGGTGTCTATTACTTTGCAACAAGTTCAAACATGGAAACAGATTACTCGCTTTCTGGCTTCGTGTTTGAGACTTCGACAGTATCATTGTTAGTGGAGTGTTTTAGGAAATGTAGGTTGAACTGTCGATGCATCTCGTTTAATTATCAGACAAGAGTGAGTCCGGACAACTGTGAGCTGAATGAAGCAAACAAGTATCTGAAGGCGAATGCTTTGCAACTCAAACAAGGAAGTCAATACTATGATCTGCTCATTGATTATAATGTTGTGGTGAGTCAAACAATTCAAGTGCACAATTTTTTACGGATAAAAATGACCATGTTACCAATAAGATGATTTTAACATGCATGCACAATCACAAACACTGCTTAGATATTTGTATATATTTGTAGAAATAGCTAGATTTCATTTATTATTTGGACTGAGATCTTTCATTGTACAAAAATAGCCAAAAATTAAAATACGAATGGCACAGCGCTCGTAAAATGAACTTTTCCCATTACCAAACAATACGTACGAGTCATCCTGCAAATGAATCTCGGTCACGATTGGTGTTTAGCTGCAGGAATACTGACTCGATCCCAGTCGTGTCTGAGCACATTGCGCCGGGGGAGATGGGAATTAAAAGAAGCTACCTTCCCACCGTCCTCTTCGTTCCTTGTTATTAGCACTCGTTCCCATCTCTCGCGCTTCTGAGTACGAGACGAGACCCTTGTTGATGAGAAAATCGTTCGGGTGCAGGCTGTAAAGGAACATTTAAAGTGTCGTTTCTGAGTTATGAATTATGTAATTGGATTATGTTGAAAGGAAGCTAAATGTATCATATCAAAGCAAACACGTCACATGGCCTAACATTGTCATTTATTTATGTTAATGAAAGTGATCCTCGCAGTAATGTGCACTACTTAGGCAGTAGTGAAAATAAGGCCTGAAAAAAATTCAGGCCTGTACGGAATTTGAACCCATGACCTCTGCGATACCGGTGCAGCGCTCTACCAACTGAGCTAACAAGCCAACTGGGAGCTGGTCATGAAGTTGGTTCTAAATAAACCCGTGAAGTGATGAATAAATGGTTAAGAATATATGAAAGTCATATATTTGAACTGCGGATAAAGACGTTAATGAAAGTGATCCTCGCAGTAATGTGCACTACTTAGGCAGTAGTGAAAATAAGGCCTGAAAAAAATTCAGGCCTGTACGGGATTTGAACCCATGATCGTACAGGCCTGAATTTTTGCCTTAACTACTGAAGTGGCTTTTGCGATTTTCATTAACGTCTTTATCCGCAGTTCAAATATATGACTTTCATATATTCTTAACCATTTATTGTCATTTATTGTTGTTTTTTTTAGTATTATCATCATTATTTTTTTTTGCTTTAAAAGCAGAGTAGAAGTCATTCGTCAGCTTGTCACAACGGCTGTTGTCATTCACAGCCATGCCTCAATGGGAGAACATGTCAAGAGTTTTGTGACGATGGGGCTGCAAACCGGCGAATACTTTGAATATTCTTGCAGTCTTCATCAACATTGTTTTGCCAACAGATGGCTTTTCATTTGATTCCGAGTGTGGGAATAACACCTTGTTTTGTGGCCCACCGGGAGTTTCCGTTGATGACATGGAGCTGCAGTTCAAAAATTTGACTTCTCCCCTGGCCGTCAATGCAAACCAAGAATTGCATATGTGGTTCGGAGAAGATCTGTTTGACTGTTTTGAGACAGACAATGGCGGCAAAACATGCGCCAGGTGCTGTATGTGGTGCACCAATAATCCTGTCTTTGCGGTTCATATACAACTACCTTGTAACGTCACTAATAATTCACAACTCATTATACTTTTCTCAACTTCTAGATTACGCAACGGGCTGTCTATTGGGTATAACTTGTCACAAAAGATCTAAATGCACTTATTTCGTGGCTCAATCCTCCGTGACTGTTGATGTATTATTTTTTATAAATTATATATAACTTCAGGAAATGAGAGATAAAGGAAATGGGGAAACTCAAAAGCAATCATTGGAAAAGATATTAAAAATGAAACGCAAACGAATTTGGTCGATCTGCTTATGCTGCTTATGTCCATATTCAAATAAAAGTTAATATATCATTAAGGATATGGGAGCCCAGGGAAATGTCTGAGATATTAAACTTTTTCTCGTTATCCAGATATATGATTGAGAGAGTAATTAAAACCTTCTTCTGTCTTTGTTTGAAATAAATTCTAGATTTTAACTTTTGTTCTTAATAAACATCGTCACTCCCAACAACCTATTTATTTGTAAAAAAAGAAAGACCCAATAAGGGAAGCGCAACTAAAACTATTGTTCCAGTTTGGCCCGAATTAATTAACAATTGAAAGGAAAAAAGCTGTTTTTACGGTTTAATTAAAATTATCTACGGTTAGTTTTCAAAACTTAGTGGTGACCATCTGCAGAAAGTCATTTTTTTTTTAAGACATGTCTCGATTGTTGTCGATTGTAATTTTCTTGGATTTGATCTTAGTTGTTGTCTTTTCGGTTCACGATAATGGTGAGTAAGTTTCGTTTGAATCGCATTTTCTTAAACTTTGAATAAGTTATTCGAGTTTAGAGTGGATATTTCCGTTTGACAATGTTTTATCAGGGATTGCCATAACAGCATACTTGAATTAATCATTGCAAAAAGTTTATTTTTAAGAGTTTTGCGGGATTCCACTCTCCACTCACAAGAACTGACCGGTGCACAAGTTTTTCCTCTTCTATCTCACTGGCGGTTATGAATATTTGATTTTGCATGTTCTCAGTTTAGACTCTAGAAATTACTTCTACCATGGGCAGATGCTTCTTAAAAATAAGATAAAAAATTTTCCTTTTGTAGCCATGGAAACGTTTCTAAAATCCCTGATATTCATCTAAATCGCCAAAAAAAAAAAAAAAATAAATAAAGCGAAATTTCTTCAGCCTAAAATTTTCGAAACATTTACAAAATGTTGTCTTTATTCGATCTCTTGTAACAGATAACTGTCGCCAGTTAGACTTTGATCTTCCAATATTTGGAAAGGCTTTGGCCAATCACGTGATCCGAACTATCCAAGTCCCGGATGTCCTGCTCTGTCAGTTGTATTGTTTTCTGGAAGCGGATTGTGTGTCGGTGAATGTAAGAGCTGCAAACCATAGCCCAGAAAAGATCTGTGAACTCAATAACAAAGATGCAAACAGCCATCCTGAGGATTTGATGCTCATTCACCAATCTTCATTCCATGGGACAAAAGTAATGGGATTTTTCTTAATATTTGTCAGTTTTTCATCGAAAAATGAGATTACATGAAACAGTGATCAGTGAAACGCTTTGTAAAGAAACTAAACAATTTCGCTGAATAAAATCAATATCGCTAATCTTTCCATTCGCGGTTTTTAGAATGCCTGCTCCAGTAATCCTTGCTTGAGTGGCGTCACGTGTCAAACTGGATTCACCGAAAAAGGATACCGCTGTCTTTGTCCAACAGGTTCCTTTTGCACAGAAGGTTTGGTCTTACTTATGTTCTTTTCAGCAGAGTTATCGAAATGTCCTCAATAGCCTGAATGAAGCAGCAGGTCACTAGATAGCACCACAACTCGGAAAAATACACGGACAGTAGTTTCACGTATCGAAACATTATCGAAAATCTTCTTCTCGTGTTCAATTGTCCATAAAAATGCCAACCTAAATTCTGTAGTCTTTCTAAAATAGAACCACTTCTTCTGATAGGGCAAAGCATGATTTCCTTGGAATTAACTTTTCACAATTGACCCGAAAAAGACAACATTTCTTCTGAGCTCAAGAAGGATTTGTCAAAAATAAATTCCTCGGCACCACAAGACATCATAACGGTATCCTTTTCTTTGATTTGATCTTTCTTCAGTTCAGTGGATAAAAATAAACACTTCACCAGTCTGTTTTGGAGCTCGTAACAATTCATATGGTGTCTTCAAGATTCCATCAGCTGGTCGAGTGATCTCTTTTAAACTGGTACATCTATTTGGGTACGTGGTCTGTGGTAAACGGTCAGGCAAGTCAAAATGGGGATGCAAATTCAGATATCCTCCTAAGCTGGCAGTTTTTGTCAAAGATCGTCTTCAGCGGCCGATTTTGCCGCCAGATAATACGGTGTTTCGTAGGTTCAATGGGGCGCATAATCAGTGTGCAAATGGAATTTATTATGGCCTCCCTGGATTCAACGAAGACTCTCGGGAACTAAGGTTCAATAACTTTTCTTCCCCTATGACGGTCACAGAGGGTCAAGAATTTCAAATATGGTACGGAGAGGATCTGAAAGACTGCACTGAAGACGACAATGACGGACAAAGTTGTGTTGACATATACGGCTTGTACGTGTAGGAGACTTTTTGTAAGGGGGTGGTCTGACATTTAGATTATGGAACTTTCACTTTTCAGATTGCTGCGTGCTCTTTACGTCAATTCCTCTTACTCTCAAGACTATCTATAAAGGCACCCTCTTTGCATAAAAGTTTTCATTTAGTGAACCCAACTCAGCTCCGCGAAGATGAGCTAACTTTTCTCCAGCTTTTATCTCAGCTTTTTAAAACAGTTCTGTCGCAATTATACGAATCACGCACAAAAAAATTGTTAAAACCTGTAAATATTATTACCTGAGACTCGTTTTTGACTGAGCATTTCTTTCAAAAAAATTGTGAAAACCTGTAAATATTATTACCTGAGACTCGTTTTTGACTGAGCATTTCTTTCGGTTGTGGTAGTTTTTCGATAATTGTCGTCTCAGAAATGTTTGTCCCAAGAATATATATATATATATATATATATATATATTTAAAATTTGCATTAATGGTTTAGTAGTAAATAACAATGATCACATAAAAAGCTTTGCCAAAGGTGTGTTTACTAAAGGATTTCGACACTTCCTGTCACATGACTATCACGAGAGGTTTAATTTGTTTTATCTCAAAAGACACGAAGAGCAAACAAAATGAAACTGTACAGGAAGTATTTAGGCTGCTATTAAACCAGTTACGGCTGTGTATTCTACTGTTTCAGCAAAATTCAGAAAATTATACCGTTCTGTGTTCTGGCTCATAGCACTGGCATGTTTTGTAATTCTGTGTTGGTGATAACAGTCATACTTGTTCATAGTTAGTGCAATCATTTTAGTTTTTAGTTAGTCTACGTAAATCGTTTTAGATATAATCAGTACTATCAGGTATGAAATGTCAAAATTGATACCTATTGCTTTTGGGTTGTTCTTCAGTTACTTCTGACGTGTCTGTTGTCAGAAATATTTAAATAAAAGATGTTCTATGCTCTGCCCTGTGAGCATTGATAGCATAGTACGTACTGTTTGTGATATCAGTAGTTTAAGTATAATATTTGTTAGGTCATGTCGCGTGTATCATTTCCGACGCCAGGAGAATTATATATCTCGCAGTATGTAAATTGTGTCAAATTAAAAATCGAGTAGAATCCACGCTTCTTTTCTTACTGAAAGGCTCATCGACTGCTTGCAAAAGAAAAGCAAAGGCTTCGTTGACGTTCGGACGAAAGGAGTTAAGTCGATAGGAGTAGAGCTGTCCCAGTCTCTTCTCGAATAAATTATACCTACTGGAAGTTAAACCTTTTTAGGTTTCGTTGTGGTTATTTCAACGAAAATTCTTTCCTGCTTTTTATCTATTCATCCCTAGAGACTTTATTACCATTAAGAACATGGGTAGTGGTTTATCTTTTCTTCAACCTTCGTAACTGTATGTAAACATAGTCGGCTTTTCGTATTTGTTCCAAAGTCATCACGGTATCACCTATTACTCTCACAGGCTTCAAAACCAAAGTCATTCTTGCTCAAAAAACAGAGCACTCATGGTGGGCCATTAAAAAACAAAGTCAGAATCAAAATCAAACAAACTTCACGAAATGAAAAGCCCAAATGTAAACATTCCAAACACCTGTTATCAATTTTTTCGATTGAATCCTACCTCTTTCATCACACGCGGATTAAGACCACGCTAACAAACTTTGTAATTGGTGCAGTGATTGTCAAGATGACAGGGTCGTTAACTCGTCTTTTTTTACAACTTTTTCTCTACTTTGCCTCATCATATTGTACTGAAGGTAAGCCGGTTATATTGTCCCTTTTCGAGTTAAATTCAAACTTGCCTCGTCAGTTACGACGTCCTTTCTTGATCTACATATCTTTTGCCAGTTTCCAGTTGTTGAATTCTATCCCGTTTCATCCCCTAGACATTCTTGCATGTTCTCTGATCTCTTTCCATAAACCCAGTTTCTATTTCCGATCAAATTCTTCTACATATATTACAATCAAGTTGTTTCCATAAATAATCGATACGAAGATTCAGCACTGAATTTTTTCGTTTTCGAATAAGTGTGAATCATGACTGATAAGATATTCAATAAGTTTTGATTTTTCAATTATAAAGCTCTCCAGCCAGTTACCTTGTGTACTCATTTAAATGATTGGGATAAATAGTACACAAAAGAATGTTATAATGATATTAGAGAATGTACTAGAATGATTGGTTTTTCTATTACACCGGGCCCGCCGTGAGCTTCAAAAGAAGTCTAACACTCATTTTATATGCATGACTAATAACAAACATCACTAAACAGTGAGTCGACAGATGAAAGAAATGTGGATTAGAATAGAATTCACGGCGAAACAGTTTTCTTAAACATTTCGAAATTAACCAGAATCTCATCTACGTGAAAATTTGTAATCTTCATATAAATATCATTCGTCTTGAATACACCGAGTGCCTTTGAGACTCCTAATCACCGATTCAACCAAAACTGTTTAAAATAAGATATTTTCTTTTTTTTTTTTATCATTAATCATTCTCCCACAGATTCGTGAGCTCGTCAAAGCTAACTGATTATAAATTCGTAATGATAATTAGGAAGTACTATGCCACCTTGAAAATTCTTGGGTCTATATGAATTTACTTTGAAACTTGAGAGATTTCAATGCAATATCAAGGCCAAGGAAAGGTCCAAAATTACAATTGTTTTTTCAATGTTGATTATGGCTCCAGTTTTTTTTACCCCTAACACTTATTTTACAAGACAGTTCTTGATATACACATCATTCAACTTATTTCGAAAGGTAATTTTTTTCTTTTAAAAGTAAATCTTCTCAATCTGGGGCATGATGTCTCTCGCTCAAGGAAGATTTTTCAGTCCTGCTCTTAGCCGGGTAGGCCAAGAATTGCCGGCACACTGTTGATTTTGTTTATGTTAGATATCAACAGGGATGTTAAAAAAAAACTTATTCAACTCTCTTACTTTGTAACCTATTAGACAACTGTCGTCATCTGCAATTCTTGCCGCCAATGAAAGACAAAGCATTACAAGGTCACGTGATACATACCAGTGACGTATCAGATCTGGAAATGTGTCAGTTTAAATGTTACTTGGCACCGAGCTGTATTTCGTTGAATCTGGGACCGATCACAGCAAACAAGAAGAGAAGCTGCGAGCTCTGTGATGCTCATGGCGATGGAAATAAGCATTCTGACGCATTAACCTTCCGAAAAGGATATCTTCATCAAGGGACGAATGTAAATATGTATACTGATGTTGTTGTAATGTTATTGTTTTTATGCGAAGGAGGTCGTTCTTTCTTTCCTTGTAATTTTCCCTTTTTATTTCAGAATGTATGTGCGCATGCGCGGTGCTACTTGAATTCCACATGCCAGACTGGATTTACTGAAAAGGGATACCGCTGTCTTTGTCCTGCGGGCTTCACGGGAGAATGGTGTAACATTCGTATGTATCATCGTGATATTCTTTTCTATCCTCATAGCGGTCTTGTCGCGGGAATTCCTTGGTGCTAGTTCTTCCAGCGCCAATTTTGTCAGCTAGGATCGAATTATTTACCTATTCGATTAAACGTAGTTCTCCAGAATAATGCAGTCCTAGGGTAACACCATGCCACATATATATACAATTTTCAATCTTTCCGGTGGTGGAGACAATACTTCTCCGTAGATTAAGTGTCTCACTAGTCTGGTAACAGGGCATGTCTGGCTGTTTTGCCACTAAAAATTTTCGGAAGCGGAGGGATACTTGCAACTTAACAAGCTTCTTCGGCTGCGCCCTTAATCTCATAGATACGGATAAATTATGGAGAAATGTTTGACTATTACTAGAATAAAATGTGAAAAAGTTGAGAACGCTCATTATTTGCTCAGTCTGACATAGTACTAGTTTAGCCCTGTATGGGTACTCATTAGATAAGGATTCCTAGTTACCCTGGATTGTGATGATTAACATGAAACCTTTTTCTTTTAGGGATAACAAACGAAAAAGAAGTTATTTCTATTGATGTTGACGTTGACGAAGAAGAAGATGATGATGATCACGGCGAGAATGTCAGTGCTAGCGGCAGCGGTGACGATTCTGTTTCTTGATATGGTATTTGATGTGGCGCCATAGGGTTCCGAGGATTTCAAAACCAATTTAACCTTACTTAATTTATTTTCAGTTCAAGAATATATAATAATATATAAAAATAAATAAATCAAGAGTTTTCATATTCTGATTTAAGTAACCATCGTTCTTCTTAGCAAAAACTGGGACAAAATGAAAAAAAAAAAAAAAAAAGTCGCATTGGCCAGCGGTATCAATCAGCTGGCACGCGGCTATTTTTGCGACGGCACCTCGTTGGTCATTTTAACCCTTCAACTCGTATGACTGATCAACACATAACTTCTCTTTACAAGATCAATGCAAAATCAAGCAGATAAGAGATAAAAAAAAGGAAAGATAAATTAGAGGGTTACGAACGTCACAACAATTCTATAACAGACCGTGAGAAGGATTACTTCTAAAATCTTAGGATCGGAGTGGAAAGATTAATGTTTAGGGGGAAAAAATTTCATTTTGCACAACACATCAGGTGACCCGACTATTTGTAAGTAGCTCTAGTCTGGGCTATAGTTAGGCGCGACTTTTTTTTAAATTGGTTCACACATCTGTTAGCCGATAAATTCGTGAGCCTTATAGTAGCTTAACGGCGTATCAAACGTATGAATATCTTGAGAACCGAAGCAATCATCTTATGTCGCGTCCATGTTGAGTTCTAGCCTGTTTTAGGCGTTTATTTCGTAAAACTGAACGAAATAGTAATCGGCGCTATAGTTGAAATGGGGCAAAAACGAGGGAGGTCTGGGGCGGGTTCATCTGTACGTTACTCGACCTAATCCTCGCTCGTTTTTTCACTCCTCTTCTATTATCGCACCGTTTACTTCAGCAGTTCTCTTTATTAACTGAACGATAGGAACAGGTTGGTTAAATCTATGAAATACTAATTTTTTCCTTTTTATTTCTAGTTCATTACCAGTCATGATTTGTTGTTGTATACTTAAAATCATCCACATGTGTATGTAAGGTATATACAGTGAGAGGCAAACAAAATATCTGTGACTCGTGTAGTCTTTAATAGTTTCTCCTTGTTTGTTTTGTTATATGCTCTAACAAATACCACAAAACGACCGAAGAATTTCAAAACTGCCCTCAAAAGATACGGTGGAATCAGTTAGACGCCTCATCATCGTCATCAGCTGCAGGAGCATCAACGAATAAGTCTTCTCCCTCAGATTTATCTGACACGTTATTGCAATAGGACCGCCTGAAGGATCCCTTTGAAACATTTTCGCGGAAAAATCTTCCACCTGGAGTGTTCACATTTCCACCTCTTCGGTAACGAGCCACGATATATGTGCAGGTCCAGCCATTCCGCCTGCCTGTATATTTTCCTATTCCGAGCTCTTTTGAGTCTTTCCAAACCAACTGGGAAAAGTGACCAAGGCCGGACTGATAACGATGAATGTTAAAATTATATCGACATACTTCATCGTACCTATGAAACAAATCAAACGAACAGACGCATATGAACTCACTCAGAGAAATAAAACTGAGAATATCTCCATTCATCTGCCAAATTCACTGTTGATGAACACAAAATACTGTGGATGAATTTTTAAAAGAAGTCACGAGCTCAAGCATTGATTCACAAATACACCTTATGTGCAAAGTCTCTTTTCTCATTAAATGCGAGTGGCACCCTTGGACCTACCCCTCCCATTAGCTCTGCCTTTGGCCTTTAATCACTTTATAACGGTTGGAAACTGGTTTACTGCTGTTACACTTACCAAGCCTTAATTGCATCTTCGACAGACCTTCCATCAACCCCTGTTTGAGTTGTACATCCTGATGCCAAATTTTCTCCCTGGCCCTGGCGGGAACTCTTGGGGGAGTGTTTCAATTCGGTGGTTCCACCGAACCTCTGGAACAGATTGCGGGCATATCGATCAGCAGCCGCATTCATCCCCTCGTCGAGGGTCATGCGCTGGGCGTCATGAATCGCACGCAGGCGGTTGTGTTGTCTTAAGGCTGCCTCCCTGTAATCTAAAAACATAATTGACACCTGTCAATTTGACCTAAGACGCGAACCTATTGTTTATTCAACAGGATTTTACGGCTATACTTCCTTTGGAGATTGAATCGGTAGGACACCCTGGCTTTATCGCTTGAGATCAAAATGTCTTCAATTAAAGAAAATTAGGTCGAGATGCGTCTGATTTTTAATGGGGGTTATTTAGGACGTGAAAGCCTTTTCAGGAGAATGGGCGATTCTTCAGACAAGTTTCATAATCCTAAACAAGTCACAAAACCTAGTTACCTCATGTGAAACTCTTGCACCATTTTAATTTGCTATGAGAGGTTTGGTTTTTTTGACGAGATAATCCCCATACAAAATCTCGTGAAGACCATGAAGGATGTCATGGCCATGAAGGCTGCCATGACCAAGAAGGCTGTCTTCAGGTTATTTAAACAGCCATTGCCTTCTTTCTTAAAGGTCTCAGTAAAGTAACTCTCAAAAGATGCTGGGAGAGACAAAAAATGCCGTAATTTTGATTCATTTTCATGATTTCTCTTTTGTCTCATTTATCCATCAAGTGTAAGCTGTACTAACCTGCTGTCGCCACATAACCCAAAGCAAGAAATATCAAAGCACTGAAAGATTTCATCTCCGCTCTGTGAAAAAATCTCTTTACCAGCAAACAAAGAAACAAACAAGGAAATAAAAAAACAACAAAATATTTTAGAAGGGAAGACAAATCTTCGATAGCGTTGTGAGGTTATATCGTCCGGGATTATAACCATGGAATTATAACCATTTAATAATGTTGATTGGCTCATTTTGCCCATTGAGCGGACATCAATCAAATCAATTTTTTGTTCATCAAGAGAGTAAGCTGTTCACATTTAATAATGTTGATTGGCTCTCCCAATTTTTTTGTTCAACTGTGTAAAAGCAGGTTAGATGGTTAAATTATGTTAGTCTTATTAAAATCTTACTCACCACGTTACCAGTTGATCTCTCTCTTCCAGAGTCCGCTTATTTCTACAAAATTTTGTTCGCTGTCAAGGCATTTAATCCCTAAACTGGTATGGGTTCACGAACAAGCAAGATTTGTTTTTAAATAATAATGAGAACATTTAATTAATTTGTCAAGGTTGAGTAAAACAACAAAAAGTTTAATTAGTTTTTTTTGTTTGTTTGTATTACTTCATTGTACCAATCTTAACTCTCATATAATTTTTCACAGTTGTCAAGTTTGTTTAAAAGGGCAATAAGATTAATTAGCTTTTGTGTTTTCGTTTGTTTTACTTTTTATTACAAATATTTCATTTATTATTTAATACAAAAGTTTCTCACAAAAAGAGCAAAACCAACAAGATAACAATCGTAAAATTGACAAATTACGCCAGTAACTCATACAACAAAATAGGGACAATGATACTTTATCAAACTTCAATGTGTTGACTTTCTTTGTCAGCTTTGCTTGCTATCCTCAGAATTCTCTGCGGAGAAGGGAAGGTTTGAAGAGCAAAAAGATTGAGTTTTCTCCTCACCTCCTCTGTTCTCTCAGTGTTTTGGTAGTTTGATACAAATATTTCGTACTTCTGTCTGTAACCTTCTTTTATGTCAATTTCATTTGCCCCAAACAAAGGAAGTTTAATTCTACGCCTGTGAATTCATTGAATGACTGATTATCTTACTTAACAGTTGTTTGTTTTTCTATTCGCAATTAGAAATTGTAATAAGTTAAATATGGGTTTAATAACTTCGTCTAATGTCAGTTGTCATTTCAGTTGATGTATTTTCACGCCTATGAATCTACTAAATGACAATTCGTTTCATTTACTAAGCAATTCTCTGCTTTTCGTTGTAAGGGCTTTTTCTCCATAGGAATCGTATTATTATTTTTTTTACGTATTAGAGACGACATAATTCGAGCCATGATTCGAGCCATAATTCGCGGACTTTTCTAAGGCATTCGATACGGTCGACTACTCTGTTGTCATACTTAAACTACATGCAATTAGATTGTCCAAGACAGCTCTTCTGTGGTTTCTGAGCTACCTAACTAGCATTCAACAGTTTGTACAAGTCGATGACAAACGATCTAGTCTTGCAAATGTCCCATTTGGAGTTCCACAGGGCTCGATTCTTAGGCCGTTCTCTTTAATCTTTATGCGAATGACATGCAAGATTGCCTGCAAGATAGCTCCTTGCGGATGACAAAACGGTGCTGCATCACGCCACTCCCAAAGACCTTGATGTCTGTGTAGACAAGGTGAAAAAGACTCTCAGCAGCATCAAGTCGTGGGCAGCTGATAGTAACTCGCTATTGAATGAGACCAAGACCAAGCACATGGTTATTTCCACTAAGCAGATGTCTAAAGTGCATAATCTTGACGGAAACACCCCACCTCTCACCTTGAAAGATAAGACAGCAGATAGAGTAAAGAAATTAAAGTTGTTAGGAACTTAGCTTAGTGAGAACCTTTAATGGACAGAACATGTTAACGAGGTCACATCATCATGTTATAAAGTGTTAGCCACTCTCAGGAAGATCGAGAGTATGACATCACAAGAGACTAAGAAGTCTCTTGTTCAAAGCCTCGTGCTATCCAGACTTAACTTTAATGACTCGTCACTTATCCTCTTCCCATATTTCAGCAGAAAAGAGTACAAAGCGTTCAGAATGCTGCCGCTGGCTTTTTCTTGAATCGTTTCTGTTCAGAAAGGGACGTTCTAGAGCTTGGCTGGCTACCTACACTAGAAAATGTGCAATTAAACATTCTTAAGCTTGAACGTCGAGCTCTTTCTAGTGCATCCTTGCCCGAATAACTTCAACTGCCTCGGCACAATCCCTAATGTACACTACGCTCTAGTAATGCGCCTTTGATAGAAATTTCTCTAGTTAAGGGTACTTTTCAGGACTCATTAGCGACTTAATTCAATACCCTACCCGCAAGTGTGAGGCGGTGTCCAGACTTCAATACTATCAAAAATCATTGTTGTACAATTCTTAAGAGCAGAGCAAACATACGTTTAACCTCATAAGTTGTCTCGATAAGGTTTCATAGTTATTGTCATTCACGGTATCTATAGTATTTTAGGTTATGTAGTTTTTGACATTTTTTAAGTGCTTTATGTAAATAGTGAATGTTTCTTGAATAACATTATGTGCATTATGTAAGTCGTTAGTTTTTAGTTAGTATGACGGATGTAGAGCTATCATGTAGAAATACTGTCAATAAATCGTTATTATCATTATATCAGCAGTGTTGCACATCTTAATGCTATGAATCCTAATGACATAGTTGGGCGCGAAGTGTAGCCTAGAGGCCATGTCATAAATTATCCAAATTTCCTTGTCAATATCTATCCATATATATACTCATAAATATATATTATCTCTTTAACAATGATTAAATAAAGCTGCTAAAATGAATTAAAAACATTTTAAGAAAAACCCTCTAGCATCCTCTTATAAAATCTAAATACGAAAGAAAAAAAAATTACAAATATACGATAATAATTCTCATGGAATTGAAAAATGATCAATACTCTATCAAATATATGTGGCGGGTAGCTTAGCCACTCCTGAAGAAGTTCATAGAGGAAGAGATCCCAAATATTTAATCTATATAGTCAGTGTTCATATGTTCAATGTTCCTCTCTGATTGGTTGGCGCCATTTATAAGTCTTGAAAGTGCGCGCAATGTTCATGGTAGTTGAAACAGCTTTCTGCATCTTTTGGAGCACCATCTTATTATTATTATCATCATCATTCTTATTATTATTATTATTATTATTATTATTATTATTATTATTATTAAAACGAGGACGGAGTGAGACTTCATAGAGAAGGACCTTGACACTATTAGTCAATCTAAGACTTTCGGTAACTAATTGGAAAATGGTGCAATTGTATGAGACGTTCTAACCTGATGAGCAGATCGATGTCAGATCCAGGTTAAAAAAGTACCATCTTTCTTATCCTATGTGTGGTGTTGTTATCTTTCGGTAAACTATCGGACACGGACATTGATTGGGCTTGGCGAAAAAAGCTGTGATGCATCCCTGGGCTCCGCCCATCGTTTCCAGTTCCTCGCAAACCTTCAAAATTTCCCACTACAACGCATGCTCAGTGAACACGTGCAAAGTGGAAGGGAAAAAAATGGCTGATGCTGCCAAGGTATACCATTTTTAAAGTATTTGTATTAGTAAATTATGGGGAATTTTTTTGAACAAGTACTTAAAACGCAAATTTTAATTGTCTTGCAGGCAGCCGAGCTGAAAGACAAAGGCAATAAATTTCTCCAAGCTAACGATTTCGCCAAAGCGATCGAGTGCTACACTGAGGCGATTTCACTTGACCCGTCAAATCATGTGCTCTACAGCAATCGATCGGCTGGATATGCTAAGGATAAAAAGTATGAACAAGCCTTGAGCGACGCCAAAAAGTGTGTGGAATTGAAGCCAGATTGGGGAAAGGTCAGAAATAATATCGATTTGATGTATAAAATTACTTATTAAATTATGATCTTATCTTGAGCATGTACAAAGTAACTATTTGGCTCTAACTTTTAGATTACTTGTGCGGAGGCGATTCACTGTGCCGTCACTCTGACTTTTCTCTTCCCATCGATTTATTAATTCTGTATTGCTACAGTTACATTGAAATGTACGTGTCTAAGTGTCTGATGTGTTGTGGCTGATTCTAGAAAATACGTTACTTAGACTCGTGTGTCATTAGCATAGTGATTTTTATAATATTCTGTTTTTTCAGGGCTACTCTAGGCTTGGTGCAGCTTTGTCCTTCCTGAAACGCTATGACGAGGCAGAAAAAGCATACACCAAAGGACTTCAGCTAGACCCTGAGAATGCACAACTAAAAAGTGGTTTAGAGGAAGCCCGAGCTATGGCGCAGCGTAAGTACTATTTAAAGATTCTGATCATGAGTGTTTGTTTTGCTTTCAGTTTCTATCATTTTTCTGTTTGCACTGTTACCCTTTAACTCCCATGAGTTACAAAACTAATTTCTCCTGACAATATCAATACAATATGAACAGACAACTGATGAGAATGAAGGAAAATAATAATGATAGGGATTATAGGCTGATCTAACACCAAATTCTCCAAACTAACGTGCTAAGAATTTTATGGCAGACAGTAAGGAGAATTAATAATGAGATCTTGGGAGTGAAAAGGTCAATTTTAGATCTTGACTTGTGGTCTGGTGTTTGCTCATTTTGTTACTCTTCCTCACACTAAATATCACCACATTGTGTTGCCAATAGGTATTTGGGATATAGGTTTTTTTTAAAAATAAATGCGATAAGGGCTGTCAATAAGTTTGAAAGCAGGGAAAAATAAGTAAAAGTATGTGGCGACGTTATAGTGGATGCCATCATCTGATCTAGTGGATAGCGATTTATCCATTGGATAGCATTATCCACTCAATTAACCACTGGACCAGATGTTTTATTGTTGGTTTTCACTATCTGATTCATTCTTTTTTCATTTACACAATTTATAGGCAACAATCCTATGACAAATCCATTTGCAATACCAGACTTATACGTTCGTCTTGCAACTCATCCTAAAACCAAAGCTTTTCTGGATCAGCCTGACTACAGATCTATTGTTGAGGCTCTTAGGCAAAACCCTCAGATGCTTGGAACGTAAGTTGTTGTATTTTGATGCATGTGGAAAAAAAATCACATGATTTTAAATTGGTGCTGAAAGAAGTGGTGTGTGGTGTGTGGTGTGTGTAAGCTGCATGATAATTACCTTCTACCTATCTTCTTGTTTCATTCAAAATGTACCATTTTTCTAGTGATGTAGCTTCTCCAAAAAATCCAACTCTGAAATGTAAAATTTTCAGTCTGTTTGATATTGATCATTTTGATTTTTTTGGAATATCAATGTTCAATAGATATCTCCAAGACCCCAGAATCATGCAAACAGTGGCTATACTGCTTGGGATTGAATCTGAAGTTGCAGACAATGAAGGTATTCAGTGTTTTGAATGAAATCTGTTCTGTAAGACAACTTTAAAATCGAGTGAAAGGGCATTTTGATTACCCATGAAATTTATTGAGATATTCTTGAGACTTAAAAAGAGACATTTCAAAATTAATTGTGTTATGTGACATTTAAAGAGCCTGCATCATCATCATCATCAGAAGAAAAACCAGCTAGTGAGCCAATGGAAACAGAAAAACCACAACCAGAACCTGAACCAGAAGTTGATACTTCAGTCCAAAAGGTTGGTATGCATTTGATGAATGTTGTGGCTCAGAAATGTTTTCTTCCTTCTTCATCTTCTTCTTCTTCTTCAAATGTTGTCTTCTTTAATAGCTACTAGTAATGGACTAGGGATCTTTTTGACTTCATCCAAATATTTTCTTTGTTTGCATTGTTTTTTCTGCAGTCTTTGGAGGAGAAGGAATTGGGAAATGCTGCATACAAACGGAAAGACTTTGAGACAGCTCTTGATCATTATGGAAAAGCTATTGAACTTGATCCCACAAATATGAGCTTTCTCACCAACAGGGCAGGTTTGTTTTGAGAGTTGTTAATCCAGAGCTTTTGATTAAATTATACTGATGGGGAAAATTTAAATTTCCTTCAGCGGTCTATTTTGAACAAGGAAGGTACGATGAGTGCATTGAACAATGTCACAAGGCAATCCAAGTGGGAAGAGAAGGAAAAGTGGACTATAAATTGATAGCTAAGTAAGTTGCAAAGTTATTTTGTAGTGTTATTGTTTTGTTATAACTATAACTTATTCTGAATTACATTTTTTTCCTTTTTACTTACCTACTGGTATTGGAAATCCTACATTTACAATGATGTAAATCATAATTTTTGTTTTTTTTTTGTTACACCAGTAGTTCTGAACCTGGATTACGTTACAAAAGTACTTAATATAACAACTGTTTTCATATTGTGAGCTTGAATAATGTTACAGTAATGGGCATCCCTTTTTTGATGATGAATCCCTCCCGGTCACAATAGAATATATGTTTGTTGCACTTCTCAGAGCTTTCGGCAGGATAGGAAATGCCTATTCCAAGCAGGAAAAACTCAAAGAAGCTATTGAAGCATATAACAAGTCTTTGATTGAGCACAGGTCTGCTGATGTTTTAAAGAAGCTTCAGGAGGTAAGGGGATTCATTTCTGACGAATGAAGTGCCACACCCAGAGCACATAGTGACAGGGTTCGTCATGCAAAAGCTGGAAAGTGATGGTATTTAACTGTTCTTGTCAGGAAAGTTATAAAAAATGAGGGGAACACTTTTTTTCCCAATGAAAATAATCAGTACACACAGGATTTGATTGGGGTCTGGAAAATCTTGAAAGATGTGGGCTTCCACAATATCATATTTAAGGTGTGGGAAGTCATGGAATTAAATGTGAGGCATGGGAAGTGATGATAAAAATTGACAATAATAGCAGAGCTCGCATAGCATAGCCCCATAATTATACAAAATAGTAGTAACCCATCAAGCCGAAAAAAGTTGGATGTACAACTGTACAACCGTCCAACTGTACGACTGACCGTACAAGGTGCTACTTTTAGCATGCGAGGCCAACTGTACCATGGGCACTATCTTATAATCAGTCCTCTACATGGACACACAGAGAAGTTGTGAATGAAACTCCATTATTATTACCATGCACTTTATCCATAGTAGGGGCTTTAGTTTTGTTGAAGAGACATGTGGGGGGAAAAAATGCAAGCTCGGCTTTTACTTACTTACTTACTACCCATCATGTCTGTGTGGCACATAGGGCAGCAACGAAATCCTTTCAGCTCGGCTTTTAGGCTTGCCTAAATCTATATATTACTTAAGATAACAACAAAGAAAAAATACCTTCATTAAATGATCATTGTCACATAATTTTGGAACCAACTTTTAAAAGATTAAGGAGAACACTGAAAAGGTGTGGAAACTAACATGGAAAGACATGGAGTTAAATGATGTGGTAAGAGTTTGTGCCATGTGCACAATATCAAATTGATTAAGTGAGATAAATGATTTGATTATACAGACAGAGAAAGCAGTGAAGGAGAAAGAGAGACTGGCTTACATTGATCCACAGAAAGCAGAGGAAGAGAAAGAGAAAGGAAATGTGTTATTTAAAAAAGGTAGGGTTATGGGACTTTTTTTGAAAATCAGTTGTATGTAAGAGAATATCTTTGTCCACAAATGATATCTATTATTTCAAACAAAAGGAACTATATGTTGATCTGACGTCAAGGTATTATGTAACAAAAAAATGGTACAACTCTCTTGAGAGCTTGTTGTTTCTAGAGTTTTACTTGGTGATTTTAACATGATTGTGGGGTATGCAATGTGCTAATACACTGTAGCCAACTCCTCTTCCAAAAACTAGTTTTGAGTCCATAGCTCCTTTTTGCCTTCATAGCAAGGCCAGAGTGAGTACAAATTGTACCTCACACAGTTCATCTCAGGCTTAAGTTCTGATGCAGTCCTTGATGGATGCTCTAGGGTGAGATGTTTTCCTCACACAGTGCCTCCCTTTGCACAGGATGTATAATAAATTCTGACAGACTGTTAAGGAATATGGATAATTGCCTGAGGGTTGTGTAAAAACAGAGAATGGGCTAAGGTCTCGTAATTTGCTAATTACCTGGAAGGAAAAGGAAGAAGCTTTGGCTGATCAAGTCATCTAGATTGTTGACAAACTAAAGCATTTTATTTCTCCTGAAATGAACATACTATTGCTGTTTGCTTTTTTCTTGAAGGGGATTTCCCAGAGGCACTGAAGAATTATAAAGAGGCCATCAAAAGAGACCCAAACAATCCAAAACTTTACAGTAACAGAGCAGCTTGTTATCAAAAATTGGCTGCATTTAACTTAGCTTTGGAGGTATGTTATATGTAGATTCTGTTTAAATTTGAATGCATGAATTGATATGCAATAGGCAAGATGGACAAGAATAAAGATCATGAGAAAAAAAGAAATGATCACCAGCCTAAGAAGCTTTGATTGTTTAAGAAATTCTCCTTGTCAGTACCAAAGGACCTGTTCAGAGAAGAATTTGAAGAATAGGGATACTGGTGTTTGGGTTAATAAATGTTTGCAAGGTGTTAACTCTAAGTAGCTCGCCCTGCTAAAATTTGCAAGCAAATTTAATTTTTTTTATTTGTTTACCTCATTATTGTTATGTGCAATATCCTCATTTTTGTACTTTCTCTTTAGGATTGTGATATGTGTATCAAGTTGGATCCTTCATTTGGTAAGTGGTACAAACTCAAGGCTCCTTCACACCTGTTGTTTGGTTTTGTTGTATACAATGATATAATTTTTCCACACCTTATTTTCATGAGACTGAACAACAAAGGGGACTTAAACAAATTTCATAATGGTACTTTTTATGATGGTTACGTCTTTCCACAGTTAAAGGATACACAAGAAAAGGAGGTGTCCTGTTTGCACTGAAGAGATTCAGAGATGCTCAGAAAACCTATGAGAAAGCTTTGGAACTGGATCCTGAAAATAAGGTTGCATTCCAATAATTAGTAGATATCAAGATCTACTCCTACCAGTCAGTAGTGTGGGAAAATAAACCTTGGAACAAAAATAAGGCTGTCATACTTTCTAGCTTTTTTCTGTTGCAGCTGATAGTTTGATTGTTGTTTTCTTCCCCACAGTATGGTGTACTACAAATATTCTTCTTGTTGTAGGTTTTTTTAAGGTAGTAGGATTGTGTTTGCTTACATCCTTATGGTACAATACTTGTTGTTTGGGTTTCCAGGAAGCACATGAAGGCATAAGAGCATGTAATTCAGCAGTGATGCAACAGCCCACAGACCCAGAGGAAATAAGACAGCGAGCTAATAATGATCCTGAAATACAGGTACAGTGATGCTAGAACATGAATTATTCTGAATTGTCCTGGACAATTAGTTGTGCACTGTTCTTAACATTTCTTCCTTCACAGAATTTGCTAAATGAAAATAACTGCTGAGGAGTTGAATTTATTGAGAGGGATTTCAATACAAATGAAGGATGATCTTTTCCTTTAAGGGGTTACTTTTCACAGTTGTCTTTTAGCAAGTAAGATCTATGAGGATGTTGATTGAATTTGGCATGTCAGTAGCTTGCAAGAAGGCCCTCTACATTAGGGCTGTAGGAAACGCTATTTTTTGCCTGTAGGAAGATTTGAATAAGGGAGAGCTTTGCTAGCAGCCAGACCTCTTGCAGACCTCTCACTTGCCAGCATCGCTCAAAACTTTATGATTTCCCTTGGGTGAAGAAACTCCTGTGCCAATGCTTATATTGACAGCCCGCTCACAGGTTACCAGACATGACCTGACCTTTTTTTGTGGAATAACAGATTTAATATACTCTTGAAGTACTTCTGTGCCTGTTTTGACTTGGTAGTCAGTGTGAGGAGTTGCTCTAATGAATGTTCCTCACAACAAAACTCAGGCCAAGGTAACAAGCTTTATAGTTTATTTCTCATAGTTGCCATTTGATGTTCTTTGTGTAGGAAATTCTCACCGATCCGGCTATGAAAATTATACTTGATCAAATGCAGGAGGATCCTAAAGCTGCCCAAGAGTATGTATTTGATTTTTAATACTCCCTGCCATACTGTCACCTATAATCCTTTAACTCCCAAAAGTGATGAACATGTAACTTCTCCCTATAATATACATACATTATCCTGCAAATGGGTAATGAGAATATTCAAACTTATCGTGTAGAAGTTATCTTGATCCAATACCAAATTCTCTGTAGCTGCTAGAGGGGAGAATTTACAATCAATTTGTGGAAGTAAGAGGTTTGAAGTTACACATAAGGATTCATCCATCCATTCTAAGATACATTCCAAAATCACCAACTGTGCCACTCATTTTTGACCATGTCAAAGAAGAGTGCTAAACTAACTAGAAAAATTTCCTTAATTGATTTGGATCTGGCTTTTTTTTCCTTTTTACATTTAGCTCATTTATTTTCAACCTTATTTCAGTGAGGTGTAGTTTGATTTTCTTGACTTAAAATATACCTCAAGTGAGATTTTATTTCGCATGTCTTATGGCAGCAAAGCAAACTGAAGGGCTTGTATTTGTTTTCTTGTAAGGCATCTCAAGAATCCAGAGATCCGTAGCCGAATACAGAGGTTGTATGAAGCAGGAATCCTGAAGATTCGCTGATTAATGTTCCTTGTTGTTCAAGTGAAATTATGAATAAAGAGGGAAGATATGGCAAGGATTGTTCCAGGGCAAAGATAGCATCTCTAACCCATGTCTGCTACATTCTGAATCAAAAGATTGTCCCAAAAGGAGGCTGCTATAAAACTACAATAGCTCAACCTTGGCTAACAACGTTTGTCTGTTAGTGGTCTTTAATAATGTATATCTCTGACCTATTCTTTTCTTTTTTTCCTTGCTAGTTAATGTTTGAAGCTCTGTTTGAACAAGGCATGGAAATTTTTTTAGTTATTTTTTTGGAGAAATAGGAAAAGGAAAATGGAAAAGAGGAAACAAAACTCCAAAAGTCATAACTGATATAAACCACATAGTGAGTAAGCTAAACCACAGCTGCACGTTTTGAAAAGAAAAACAAACAAACAAACAAAAGAAAACAAAAAAACTTACATTTTCTTTGTGATGTAGCCACAGTTGCAAAAGTTGTTAATCATTGATTACTTGTTGAGGAAAAAAAGCTTTGTTTGCAGGGTTTTCACATGTATTAGTGGTAGAGTGGTGCTCATTAAAGGTTTCCTACAGGGAACGTTATGATGCTTTGAAAAAATTACCTTGAAGTAGAGCCTGTGCGACAAGTTGCTTTTTCATTATCTACAACACCCTTTCCTCTCCAGACAGCATGCAACATTGTGCGCTAGAGAGCCTATTTCTTTTCGCTTTGTTTTCTAATTCGGGCAAGGAGGTCGCCAGCCACGTCTTCAATCCAACCTCGAGTTCAGACTTATTCAGGGGTAGCAAAGGGGGTACTTTCTCGAGAGGACTGGAGTAAGAGAAAAAACTGGGAACAATACCTTCCGTCATGCAACGCTAGCCCAAGTATTGCGTCTCCCACAAAGCACAATGGGAAAGTAAAAATATATCGCAAGTTCCTCGGTCTGCTTATATTTGCAAAGTCATCGGGCAGAGCTCCCTAAGACAGTTAAGTTATTCTTTTAGTCAGAGTGTTCCGAAAAATTACTCTCCTCCTTCTATGAAACACGATGGAGTTGTTCGTGGATTATCGCTGTGAATATCAAGGAGAAACAGGCAAAATCAAACTTTCGCTCCCTCGCTTCGAGGGCATCAGCATTAGAGATGTAAAGTTTGCTATTCAAGATGCGATTCGTGCTCCGGTGTGTGATCAACGACTGTTTTACCAAGATCGATTATTGACAGACGATAGCATGCTTCTCAGCAGATTGTATTTCCGCGAGGGTGACTGTTTTAAGTTAAATTTTCTCTCCCCTGTGGATATCAGCGGCATGAAAAGCGAATTAAATGTCTTAAAAGGTGCTGCCAAAGAAATTGTGGATGTGCTAGAGAGACAGCTCCCCGATAACAGCCGCATAGAAAACGACTATATTGGCCTGTTGAGATTTTTCTATCGTGTGCAGGTTGCTTTGGAGAAACTTGCAGCTGAATTTTTCCATCCCTGGAAATGTATTAGGACTGATGCCCACAGGCACTTCTTTGTACAAGAAGGAGGGTTTGACGCATTTCTTGAAGTGTTTAAATTTTCGCGAGAACTGTTCATGAATGAGTAAGTTTAAAAAACTTAGTTATTTTTCCGTCCCTATATGTTGGCTGCTACAATATCTGACCTCTACTCAAACTTTCAGCTTCCTGTTGGGGGTAGGGGTGGGGGTGGGGGTGGGGGTGGAGTGGGTAGGATAGGACAGTGGTCGGAAGGGGCCATAGCGCTGTTACGACCCTGTAAATTTCTGAACTCAGAATACCAATAGTATGACCTTGTGTGAAAAGGAATATTGTTGTGTACATTTATCACATTAAGATGACTTTTATGGGAGTTATTTCACTAAAAAAATCATATATATCATTCTGTAACTTTGAGGCAAAGGAACTCTTAGCTGTCTCGAATGTTACTGATACCATTCTTGATGAGGGGGGCGTGGGTAAGAGGGGTAGGGGAGATTTGAGGAAAAGGGGAGGGAAGTAGGAACTTGATGAGGCCGAAAGAGAGAGAAAAAGAAACAATAAATCATTTATTAAGATGTTATCCTTTGCAATAAGAGGAGGAGAAGGGATTGTATGTTCAGAGGAGTTAGGGGAGTAAGGTCTTGGAATCTGTGTATTCCCACTCCGTCCCTTTCATCCTCCAGTTTATCCCTGCTGGTAATGGTTGATAATGGATCCAGGCCATTTTGGAGTTGAAATTTTGACTTAACACCCACCAAAATTTATTTTTTTTTAAGTGACAGATTATTAATGTATTCATTGTTTAGGGACAATATTTCTTTTGTAGAGTCTCACCAATCCACTGGATGGAAAGTATACCCTTTTAATGTAAATTTGTTCAATGGACATCCTGTGGATTTGATTATTATTTTTCATATTTTCTTACTAGATTCACTTGGCAGTCAAACATTCAATTTTCACCACGCAGTGTATAATACCATGACATTACCCACTGTAATTGCCTTAATTTTGATCATCAAAAATATCTGTTACTCTTCCCATGAAATTATGAATTGCTTTGCATATTGTGGTGGTAAATCTTTCTTTTATCTAAAACTGTGGACATATATAGTGCTTGGCCACCATTTGGCAAATATTACAAAATGATATAATCATCTCTGGCCTAATTTGGGTTTGAGTTTTCCCTTTGTTTTTAAATCTTAACCAGTTTTGCTTTTACCTCATGACTTTATACTAGGGACGAGATTGAAGAGGAAGATATTCTGGAGCAACGCAAGTACAACTTAAATCGAGTTCAACTTGTTCTTCAACAATGCTGCCTAGATCTTTTGTGGGTTTTCTCAGAGAGAGCACAAGACCGAGAGTTTGTTTTATCAAAAAGCATTCTTCCCATGCTATTCAATGCACTACTTCTTCCACATCCTTATCCAGTGGAAAGTTTTCCAACGTTGCATGATGGACGCCTTGCCACCTTGGTACTTCAAGTGAATGAGGCGGCCATTGGATGTGTTGGAGGGTGAGTACAGGCTGGGCTCTCATTTCTGTTGTAGGTAACAAAGTGTTACTGAAAGAAACTTTGATTTCAGAAGAGTATGTGAATTTTATTAGACCCTAGTAGGTGAGCCTGACTTTATATCAAGCATTGTAACATGTTATGGTGATTCTGATAATTGAAGTACACATGGCATAAACTTGCCTTCAACTATTCAGTTCATCGCTATGAAGCAAACTGATATTGCTGCAGATTTAATAAAAATCAAACATCCTTGTTACAATTTTGATGACCAATCTGTTTATTTTATTCAAAGCTAAAAAAATTAATTTCGTCTTCTGTTATTTCTTCAGATTAGTGGAACTAGATCCCAATGCTCAAGAGGTAGTTTCCAAAATGTCCCAACTGATTGACAAGCTTGTATTTATGATAGACAGGCATCAATCAATGCGAGCAGGATACTCACTTTTTTCCAGCCAAGTTGCAGCAAACACTTTGTTTTATTGCACTTTTAATGTTAAATCTGCTACAACATTAGTGGATTGTGGAGCACTGGATAAAATTATTGACATCACAACAAACCTACTAGATGAAATGCATGGAGATACACCTCTCAGGTGAGAATTATTCAATTAAATCATTACCCCTGATGTTGCCCAAGTAACTAGGAGAAATTTTTTATTTGGCCTTTAAAACAAGAGGCCTATAATTTTGACTCTTAATTAAGTTAACCAGGGAGAATGTTGTCAAATTACAGTCTCCAGTGAATCAGGACAAAGGCATCATTATAATTGCCAATCCCCTCACTGTAAGGAGACATTTTGTAAAATACTAAAATGAAGAGCACATTCAGATTCAGTGAAATTGCAGGACCTTAAAGTCTGTAAATTATTATCCATGGTTTACAGACTTTTTGTAATGATGCTCTTAATTCTCTCTTTTTTTTTATTTGCTCTATAGGTACTACTGTTGTTTGTTCCTTGCAAGAATACTCTCAGCTCCATTGGCTAGGGTGGAGAAAGACACTAAAAGTACTGTTGATGTACTTATCAACAAGTTTCTGGAAAGGCATATTCCCAGTGAAATATCAGAATGGGAGGAATCATTGAGTTTTGAGTGGGTCACAATTGTGCCTTTAGTTCATCTTGCTTTTGCAGCAGGAAAGGAATGGAAAAAAACAACCAATCCAACAATTCAAGAAAAGAATAATGTTGAAAGTCATTTCGCTTCCCACAGTACAAACATGGCTACTTTAGACTCAAGCAAAATGATCAGTGATTCTGATACCAATCTGGATATGAATACTTCACCTCTGTCTGGAATTAGAGGTCGTGAAATGGTTTGTTTAAGTAACCAGTTCACTTGGCCAGGCTCTTCTGCAATTCAGAGGCTTGGAATCTTTTCTCTTGTCCACATGCTCTCCATTAAAGACAACCAAAAGCTAGCACTGTCTCAAAACCTTGTCCCATACCTGGTTTGTCTGTCATGGCAGCTGGATCCTGAAAATAGAGGCAAGCTCATTGCAAGCCTGGCTAATTTCCAAAACATTTCACCCCCTTCTTTAAAAATTACTGTTAAATCTGTGCTCTCTTTTGTTAATGGGTTTGATATGGTTTTTAACTTGTAAGCTATCCAAAATTCACCTGACAAGACTTAATTAAATTGAGGGGTAAATTTTGGGTATTAAGTTAAACAAATAATACAGAAATCTCAATTAAATCCCAAATTCACATTTCTTTCAACTAGAGAAATGATTAACTTAACTTATGTGTAAGCATTAGCCAGGTCAAATTCACAAATTGCAAACTAGTACACAGAATCAAGCTAAAATTATTTAGCTGTAAAAAATACTTATTACACTCATGACAGATATGTTTTAAATGATGGAATGGGATAAAAATAAGAAAATATTTTTAGAAATTATTTGTATTGTATTTTATTTCAGTTTTGCAATTGGTATGTCATGATTTGCTTTTTGCCATGCACTTCAAGGAAATAAAACGTGCATTCTTATGGAAATGGTCCTAACTACTTTAAAATAGGTTGTCTTTATGTTCTTATTCAGTTGTGTACTAAATTCTTAACTCAATCAAAGAATATTTCGTAACCCACACCACTTAACTGAAGAAATGGAACTTATACAGTCAGAGATTATCATTATATTTTTTACCTTGATATTAAAATTTGCATTCATAACTCAGTTTTACTAATGATTTATAAATAGTTTCCAATGATGACAGAGACATTTCTTTCTTGAAATTTCTTTCTTGAAAAGTTATATTTGATTATGATCAACTGGGCTCAAAATTAAGCAAAAAATAAAAATTGAAGGAACGGCAATGCCCATTAATTTGTTATAAATTAAAAAAAACAAAATTAACAATCCTTATCGGCATTTTACCACATCAATGACCCTTTTCTCCTTTTATTTGACACAAGGGATCTCTAAAAAAGAAACTAGTAGAGCCTTCCCCCTCTTTTTGAAAGCAAAAGCTGAATCATTTTGTAAAGTCATCACAAAGTTTCTAAAAATTGCTATGATTAGAAGTTTTTAGAACGTTGCTGAAACGTTTCTTCCCATATGTTCCCAGAAACCTTAGAGAGCGTGATTGGCGCGAAACATCAAACGCGCCCACACAAAATCACCAAATATGGAGCAAATTCAGCAAGATAATTGTGATGTCATTACAGTTGTCATGGGAACTGATGGATAATTAAAGGATCGTCGTCTTTACGTTTCTCAAACGCAACTCGAGGTCTACGAGGAACCGGAACGCACGGCTACAGCAGAGAAAATTATTAACTACGAAAGACGGATTAGAAACAGTTTAGTTTCTCTTGACTCTGTGTTTCGAAAGAATTCTAACTGTGTTTTAAGCTTTTATCCAGACTTTATTTCCATGTGTTTGAAACCGACCATCGAAACCTTCACTTGTGAGATGTCTGTCGGAGAAGCAAAGATGGATCCTGAAAACGTCGTTTTAAAGCCGCAGAAACGAAAGAAATTACGAAGACTTAAGAAAAGGAAGTATTTTACTCCTCTGGGTTTCGACTTAATGCAGGAGAACGGGAGACCGATGAAGCAAAGGAGAACAAAAACCGCCGCGCCTCAGAATACCACGCAATTCATCATGGAGGATAAGGAGGTGACCGAACCGTTTTATGTAATTTCTTCTCCTTCCACTTCACCAGTTAGTCACTGTACAAGTTCTCCAGGGTCAGTACGAGGTTCACCTTTATCGGACAGAGACTTAGCTTTCGATTCTACTGAAGAAGATCTCGTTCGCGATTTCGAGGACCTTGATTTCGATTTGGATTTTTTCCAAAAAGATTTCGAAGCCACATACAATCGTATTCAGGAGGAAAGCTTATTGGAGCTCTCTAAAATTGAACTTGTTAATAAGTTTAGAGAGCTTGAAGGAAAAGGAGAGATTCTTCAAAAACGTTGTGAGGAAATTGGAAGAGTCGGCACTCATGGACAGCAAAAGTCTTCTACGGCAAAATATTCGTATGTTGTATCACCAAACGCTTTTCCCGCTCCTGCCGAAAAATCACAGGACGAAAGTACTTTGCTTTGTTATCTGGAAGAGTTACGGCGTGAAAATAAATCATTGGTGGAAGAAAATTTGAGGTTAAAGTCTGCAAAATGTTCATTAGGACTTTCTCGGCTTTCATAGATACTATGATTTTAAATTACTAGTGGAGGCAAATAATGATGAAATTGATGTGGAATGTGATAGTTCTGATGTTGGCGGTGCTTTTTTCGTTGTATGACGCTTTAACATTTTGCCCAAAGACGACTGACTTCAAGTGTTTCAATTTATTGTGTAGAATACTAAAGCATGGTCTGGAATTTTGCGAGGATTTTGAAACGTTTGGTAATTTTTCCTTATTCGAATTGTTGAGTTGGCAGGTTAATCTATTATTCATGTTGACTCAGTTTAATTGTTTTAGTTTGGTTAGCGCGGGTTCGGGTTATATTGTATAATAAGAAAATGTGGTTTTGGTTTTGGTTTTCTTTGGAACTTATTTTATTATATGCATCAGAGTACCTAAATAGGTCTGTGGAAGCAAGGAGCTTTTTTTCTGTGGTTTTTTTTCTTTTTTAATCAGGAAATGATGATGAAACTTGTGTACTTCCTTAGGTTCTAAATTTGTTCAGCCTTTTTGTGTCAAGAAATCTCATAGTTTTCTTTTGGGTAGACTTAGGAGAAATTGCAAATATAGGAGAAAAAAAGCGAATTGTTTTTACAGCAATTATTTACTTTACATGTATTTGCTTTTACTTGAATGACTTGGGTGGACTAAAACTACAAGTTTTCCACCTTGTGATTTAGGTGATGTGTGGTGCACTTGGGTCATGAATGATACCAGTGGCATTGCCTGTGGATTACACCACACACTCCAGAATTAAAGGACAACTGATACTTCCTTCCTATCAGGTAAAGGGTTGTTTCATGCTTTTACCAGGAACTTGTTTTCAAGACATTAATATTGATGAGCAAATATTACTTTGCTTGCTTCTATGTTGATTAAAACAGCCATTGAATTATAATTATAAAATAAAAGAAGGTGATCACAACTTTGAAGGACTCAAGTTTCTGTGACAGAAGGATCAATTTAGTGTTTGATCTTTTTTCAAAGTAGTCCCTCTTAATGGGTGTTAAGCAAAAGTTGAAGAATGTGCTGGGGTATTCAAAAGATCAGAGGTTTCATTTCATTGTAAGATGTTGCCCTGATACAGACTGTCACAAAGCACCACCATCTGTTGGTATTGCCTATGCTAATTGTGTTGCTTTTTGTTTCAAGCTGAGTGTTGGTGGATGGAACCTGGAGTGTCCATTACCCAAACAACACCTGCTGCTCAGAAACAGCTAAGTATGATCTTGCTGTTGTTCTCTTGGAAGTGGCTCTTCCGTAATGGGTAGTGGGTTTATCTGAAAAAGGGACCTCGGTTCATTTGAAATTGTTTGTATGTGAAATCCTGTTCAAAACTACCCAGTCATGAAGCTTCTGTTGTTTCTCAATTCCAAGGTCATGTTAGACAGGACAAATCTGTGAATGTGTTATTAGAATGATAACATTTTCCACTTTCACCTCATAGCAAGATAAGTAAATATTTGGTCCTTAGTGCAACCTGCCTAGAAAACCCCATGGATCTGCTATCAGCAACTCTATTATGTGACATGTTTATTTCACAAGGGAAGAACTGATGGAAATTTGGCGTGCAGGGAGGGGGTGTTATTATGTGATTGTGCTGTATTTGCTTTGTTACAGAATTGGAGAGGGAAGATTTGGATATGCAGCCCTTTGGCAAGATTGTGTTGAAATTTTGGTGAAATATGACATTGATTTACCTCTAAATGGCCTGTGTTATCTCTGAAAGATAAGAAAAATAAATGAAACAGTGTTCTTAACTGACTCATGACTTGTTCATTTAATTTACTCAAGCTATCATTTAGCTGGTCCAAGGCATTCAGTTCATAATATGAAGCCTGATGGTAAACAGGCAGGCCATCCTATGAGGGTAGCAAAGGGTAGCACCTGATCTGTTTCTCTCACACTTCCACTAAACTTTGCAGATCATGTATAGCAAAGGAAAATTTCAAATCTGTCCTTGTGTATAAGGTCTAAGAGAAATCTTGAGGTTTGTTAATTCCTGAATCCTGCCCACTTTGGTGAATTTCAAGTATTTAGGTTTGGTCTTTAGTGTATGATGCTTAGAAATCCTTCTAAGAAAGAGTACAATGATTTTATGAAACTAGTTCTAAAATTAATGAAGGTTGTTCCTCACATGACGCTGTATTAGAACGAGTAAATCTCGTTTACTATTGTATCGCACTACTGTTTTAGACAAGGTATTTATACCACTTAAATTTAAGAAAGAATGAGTAGAACATAAACCACATTTTCTGTAAAGTTCACGAGCCATCCTAACTTAATTTGCCAACTGCTTTCCAGGAATAATCTGTAAAAAACCGCTTCAATTTTTCAAATTTGAAAATTTTTAGCTAAAACCGTGGCCCCAAAAATATTTCTCACCTTACCTGAAAAATTTTTAAAAGAAATTTTCAAAATTTTCACAACTTTACCTATTCCTGCTCGTAGGTCCAGCCAAGCCCATATGGTCATTGGCCCCCGGAATAGCCGCTCACTATAGCTTATAAATGTAGGCGTTTAATCGTAACTTGTAAAACTCCCTGAAGAAGTTTACGACAGTCAGACGAAACGCGTCAGAGAATAAAGAAGTTTTACAATTGCTGTTCGCACAGCGCTGCTCACTAGTCTAGTTTTAAATTTAAAAAAAATTTTTTTTTTTTAAATTGTTTGAAAAGCTATTCCTGTCAGCGGTGAAATACAGGAATGGCTCCGGTCTCTGGTCGTCCGCCTGAACTGGCTAAATGAGTTTAGTCAGCAGATGACTTTTTCATCGCCGGAATATCGCTGAACGACTTCGATGAACAGGAAAGACTGCCTTCCCTTCGCAAGGTAAGTAACCATTTCTTGTTTGACACATCGGTATTTTTACTCGCATTGACATTTCATTGTTCCGCTTTGATACAGGCGGTTAACAATACTCACGAGTAAGGAGTTAAAATATAACTTATTAACTTTTACTATTTTTATCATCCAATCACAGGTCGGAGCCATTCCTGTATTTATTCGCTTGTGATAAATGTGTATCGAGTCCTCGCAGAAAAAAAAAAGCTCTGGTCTCTAGACGAGGAAAACTGACACCATAATAAGGTGTTGTGCTTAGGGTTGTGTAACAAGAATAATAATTGAAGTTATCATCAACAGGCACACCCTTGAAACCTGGCAGCATGATATCTAATAGATTCACAGCGCCCTTCCTCCATAAATTGTTAGTGTCATTAATATATATTTTTACCGAGTAGCAGGAAAAAATTGAGTTAAAGCGAATAAAAGTAGACGAGCCTCGAATTCGCATTAATCAATTTATCAGTTGTGGCAAGTTTGCAGAATATTATACCCACCACCTCCCGCTGAGTCACATTTTGGTTGCACTATCGGGGAGGCCCAGTCCGGTGTCAATTTCTTGTTTATCGTTCTCAGGTGGTTTTATCGTTGTGTTTTACATTTGGTCTTCCTTCATGCGACCGAATATGTGGCTATGGGCTTTCATGGAAAGTTGAAGTTTTGTTTTAGTTTAGTCGCCGTCGCCTCGACTGCTGCTGGAATTTTTTTCATTTATGTGTGCTCGCGAATCAGTTGTCAAAATGCGAGCAAAGGAAGCAGCATGGCGGAATATAAAGCTGGAAGGGTTAATTATTTTGAAGGAAACATCGGAAAAGAGTTTCAATTCGATCTCGAAGGAAATGATATAATTGTATTCTTGCACATGCAGAAAACCGGCGGAACGAAATTTGGTAAACATCTGGTGAAAAACTTAGACATAAAACATCCATGTGACTGCGTACGTAGGAGGAAGAGGTGTGATTGTAGGCGACCCAACTCAAATGAGATATGGTTGTTTTCACGTTACTCTATGGGATGGCCTTGTGGACTGCACGCCGATTGGACTGAATTGAAAGTTTGTGTTCCAGGGCTTATAAACAAATCGGAAGGTGGCAAAAGATCTAGGAAATTCCTTTATATAACGATCTTACGCGAACCTGTATCAAGGGTGTTGAGCGAGTTAAAGTGTTACCAGAAAGGTACAACATGGAAAATGTCTTTGCACAAGTGTAACGGCAGAGTCCCAACTAAAGAAGAACTTCCACCATGTTATACTGGAGAAAACTGGGAAGATGTCACGCTGCAAGAATTTTTGAACTGTTCATCGAATCTGGCCTTCAATCGGCAAACGCGGATGTTGGCTGATTTGGAACTTGTTGGTTGTTACAACAGAAGCGCGATGTCACGCGTTCCGAGAGAGGAGATTTTGTTAGAAAGCGCTAAGAGAAATCTTGCGAGTATGGCGTATTTTGCTCTGGTGGAGTACCAGCTTGAAAGTCAATATCTATTCGAGAGAACCTTTGGAATGAAATTTCGACAACAATTTGTGCAAATGAGTAAGGAAGAGACTCGAGCGGCTGAGGTAGTTCCTAGTTCTAAGGATCTTGCGCGTATTCAAGAACTTAACAAACTAGACAGCAAGTTGTATTCCTTCGCCAAAGAACTGTTCTTTGAAAGACTGAAATATTTTAAAGAACGGGACAAGGAAGGCATATCTCAGGTGTGATCTTCTTTGTGAAGCCTCCATACGCCATCATTTTCTTTCCGCACATTTATTCATTGTTATAATTTTTTACGCAATCCGACACCTGAACGAAATTAGGTTCCATATGAAACCCGTGAATTTTTTATCATTTATTCAGACAAGATTATATTGCGATTTCAACTTTGTTCCCTCTAAATTATGTAAAAGCTTAAAAGTGCCACTATTTTGCTTTTGGAACAGAAATTGTTTTATAGTAAATGTTGGTAAAGAGGGAGGTTAATCAGGTGATTTTGCACATCACGTATTTGCGTCGACCTTATTCGAAATGGCCCTATTCCTAGTGGAGTGTTCTTAAATTTAAAATCCTTGGCTCGAACTGGCCAGGGGGAAAATAGAAGGTTACCAAAAAAAATGTAATAAATGAATCTTTGGTGGTCTCTCAGATATCCAATACAGTCAGGCGTTTTAAGGTTCTTTGTTCCTTTCGCTTGGATTCTTAGGCCTGGTGCAGACCAATGGAACCAGCTATTTTAACTTGCCTGATAAACAAATTAAGAAATATAAACAAAACATGAAAGTGATCTAAGGTGCTGTTCCTTGAAAGTTGAACTGGAATTTAAACCGAAATTGGATGAAATCCAATACGGTCTCAACAAGTTTTGCTTCTACACGAAGGCTTACTTTATTTTCATTTTTAAAAGTCTCCTCTTGTAGTGTTATTTTGTTTTTAAACATAATAATGGCATTCCTCCTCTGGGAAGGGAGTGTGTTGCATAAAGAGCTGAGCCTCGAGTAAACTGAAACATGGGAGGAAGTGTATTGCATAAAGAGCTGAGCCTCGAGTAAACTGAAACATGGGAGGAAGTGTATTGCATAAAGAGCTGAGCCTCGAGTAAACTGAAACATGGGAGGAAGTGTATTGCATAAAGAGCTGAGCCTCGAGTAAACTGAAACATGGGAGGAAGTGTATTGCATAAAGAGCTGAGCCTCGAGTAAACTGAAACATGGGAGGAAGTGTATTGCATAAAGAGCTGAGCCTCGAGTAAACTGAAACATGGGAGGAAGTGTATTGCATAAAGAGCTGAGCCTCAAGTAAAATGAAACATTTGACAACACCATTAATTGCAGGAAAAATTAATAAAATTTAAAGAAAATATTTTTGGGTTAACCCTTCACCCTCTAACATCAACATTTACATTCTTTAGAGTCTTCTCTGTACATTTCCTTTGTTACTGATAGGGAAAATTGTTTTAACAATCAGCGCTTCTGAGATTGGTGATCATTTCCCTTATTACTGTGATAAGAAATTGGATGCTAGTCACTCTTTAAGTTTAAAGGATTATAAGTATTTTTTAAAGAATTTTGAGAAATTTTTCATTTCAAGGACAATGGCTTGTAAATTTATTTTTCCCTTAAGCCATCTTTAAAATGAATGATATATTATCATCATAAAGTTATTTTATTTAACATTTATCAATATATTATATATATTTATGCCAAAGAAACTCAAACTCAGAATTATTAAATAGCCCAGCACGACTTGTGTTTTGGCAATTTGTCATTTTGGCCTGGACAGTGCCTGGGCATTTGACATATTAAACTTAACATGTCTTTAACAAATGTATTTTTCAAAGGGTCATAACATTGTAATCAGAACCTTATTAATTGCAATGTAATCCTAAAATAACTAAGGCCTTTGCCTTTATTCTCGTGTAAAGAGTCTCACTATCATGCACAAACAGTAAGGTTCTTTCAGTCATAGTTCACAAAAAATTAACAGGACAGTCAGTAAGAATTCCTAGAAAGAAAGCTTATAGTTATTACTGTAATGTTAGACATAATCATGCTCTAATGATTTTGTTGTAAGTTTTTATTACATTCTACTCAGTTTGTGCAATATATATTTTTTATAAATATCACTGAATAACATTGTATTTATATTAACTTGTCAGTGTCTGAGTGTTTCTATAAGGCAGCAGTGGTAGAATGGCAAAGTATCAGCTATAATAAACGCTTCTCTGATTGTCATCACCTACAAAAAAATTTCCTCGGTTACCACCTTTCTCTCCCCTGCCTCCTCTCCAGAAACCCCCCTGACCTCCTTGTGCACCTCTATGTGCACCTTTATGTGACCAGCCTGAAAAATGTGAAAATAACGGTACAGTTATGTGTTATGGGAGATACCAGTGTAGTAAATGCAAAGATATGTAGGGTAAGTGGCAAATGCAGATGTAGAACTAAGAAAAAAAATAATTCTAGCTTGTTTGCTCCCCCAACTGAAGTGTATCTACATCCATGGATTCTAACCACTGAATTTAGAGCAATCACCACCAAGGCTTAATCATAACTGGATCAAAAGTAAAGCAGAAAGCAGCATTTGTTTCATATTGACCACATGTCCATTTTTCAAGTTATTTGGATCTGCAAGGTAGCTGCTTTGGCTAATTCTTTCCACTGATGACCATGTTCTTCTTTTAATTAATTTCATGTCAGTACCAAGATAATTACTTGACTTCTTGACTTTGAATTAAAATTGTAAAAAAAAATTGTCTAATGAACACTTCTGAGATGCTAAGATTGACAGCTTGATTAACTAAAATCAGTTGAGGTTCAGTAACTCACCCCCTTGAACTTTGTCTCCTCTTCCTCCTCGTCCACCTCCATGCCCATCTACAGTCAACAAAACAGCAATTACTACACACTTAGTGTTATTACAGTGATAAAATTTCCTTGGGCAACAAGCTTCCATACATAAATAGTAACATAATTATGTTCTAAGGCTAAAAGGCTTAGTGTATTTCATGGTTCCACCAATTAAACTGCACTCAAGAAACTCTTCACAGGTAAGGAAGGGGGGAGATATCTCTTAAACTAGCCAGGTTTAATCAAAGAGAATAATAATTTAAGGATAGCAATATTTTACTTGAATGTCTTCGGTCCTTTGGAGCTGGCTCTGTTCTCTTCTTGAAAGATGGCATCTCCACTGGTGACCCAACATGTGATGGCCTCCCACCACGATCAGGGACCTGAGAGGGTGGAAAGTTTGAAATATTGACAGAGATACCCTCACTTCTCTGAGCTATATTTGATTTTGATTTTGATATTAGTTAGTAACATACTTTGCCCATCATGATCTTGTTTATTTCACATTGTGTTTTGTCTCTTATGTCACCACTGCTTGTTTTTGTCAACCTAAGCAAATCTGCAATAAAAAAATAAAGCATAGAATAAAAAGGTGTGTATGGTCATGTGAAATCTGGCAATTAATCCTTCAGGTACAGAGACTGAAAATAAAAGGAATTCCAGCATTTCAAACTAACACATACCAGATCACTGATACTATGAACTTTGTTTTATTGCCATTTCACTGAACATTTATTATAACAAAAGAATGAGTATCTTAATATTATGATAATTATACAATTGATGTTAAGTAATATCTAATAAAATCAGAGAAGAGTAACTTTGCTTGCCTGATCTTGCAGCAATTATATCTGGAATGGTTACTGGGGCCGTAGCTGATAGAGATTTTCTTAGTGGATGAAAAACTGCAGACATTTCATGTTTTTTAGCCTGGAAATGTACAAGTTAGAGTAACTTTTACTCTCACACTAACAATGTGATGTGCATACTTTTATTCATTCAACATAACTGAAGATGACTGACAGATTCATACAAATTTGACCAAGTTCATTGTAACGAGAAAATTCATATAAAGGGAAGTGCAAACCTTTGCCCTGTCAGACCAACCAAAGGATTGGACTGTGACATCTAATCTCTTCAACAACATTGAACGGCGCAGCGTGTACTCCTGATTTAGCTGTGAGTTGATTTCTTCTACTTTGCTCTGAAGGAAGAAGTAAGTCACAAGTTTAACATTAGACTGTGAGATATCCTGACAAGAAATCATATGAGTATGTTGTAGAAGGAAATGAATGGAAACATTTATTACATACCCACTGCTTGACTCCCAGAGTCTCATCTAATAAAGGCTGCCCAAGATGATCTTTAGGGGCTTTACTTAATAGTTCACGCACCTGCATGCACAGAGAAATAATTTGTTAAAAGTAAACAAAAAAAATAATTATATAAATTATACTAAACCTTGTTGTTAACTCAATACAACTGTATGTGGTGTATATAAAGCAAAAAAAGGATATAAAATTTGCCAATATAAAATAATAAAAGTTTTGGCATGGTAATGATATCACTGACATGATTAAAATAATAAAAATAAAGTTGTTACAATAATAATAAAAAATATGAGGGTCATTGATACTGATGAGTTTATTGTGAATAGTTGGCAGTTTTGTTTCACTAACCTTGGTCTCGATCTTAGTAAACAAATCAAACACAGTTGATTCTTTAGATGGTTGTGGCAAATCTAAAGCGTGTAAGATGGCCTTTAGCTGATCCAAGGCTGGACTCGCTGCCTGTCAATAGAAATGATTAAGATCAAGTTGTTTTATTACAGCAGTAAACATTTTGTTTTGGCCTAAAGAATGAAAAAACACAGATGTCAATTATACACATTTTTTTAAAATACTATAATCATTATAAATGAGAGTTACTTGATTATCAATCTCCATTTTTTCTTCTTCTTCACCTCCAATCATTTTCAGTGCTTGAAGTTCTGAGGTCAGATAGTCTGAAAGAGAGTCAGAGGGAGAGTTTAAAGTCATTATAGGAATATTCCACCCTCACTCCATAACTTTTTTTAGCTGAAGTTACCCAAAAGAAGCAGCCTGTTTGCTTGAGAGGCAAGCCCATTGACTCCTAAAAGCTGGGAATGGGGACAACCTGTAATAAATAAGAGAACATACTGAAAGTTAGGGAAGTGTGCAAGATGTGGATAACATACTCTATAATCAATCACAATACCTAGCTCATTTAACAGTCCACTCATTTCCATGCGAAATGTTTCTTCATCCTCTTTCTCTGTTTCAAACCAAAGAAAAGTAACTGGTTCAATACTGAATGTCAATTACCAAAAGGTCTGGATAGAAGCAAATATGTAATGAACTTAAGAAAATGAAAGACACTTTTTAAATTTGAAAACCTGTTTCAACAGTTCTTCTGTCATCTTCAGTTCTAATAGAAAAGAAGGCCAATATATGAGGTAATTTAAAATAAAGGTTAGTAGTAGTGTACTTCTAACTTTTGTACCACTAGCACTAACTTTTATTTTAAATTACCTTACATTGGCCCTTTTTCTGTTGTCACACCAAAAAGTTGGTTTTTTCATTGTTTAAAATAGGCAATATGTTTGGTGTGAAAGACCCTAACCCTTGTGGGCTCTGTACAAGTGTAGTTTACAAGTTTTTATGCGCAAGCTGTTATTCCTACTAAGTCAGTAAAACCTCTCGGCATTCATCCACATGTGTACGTGAGCACTTGGTCAGTGATAGGACCTCTCACATTTTCAGACATCTACATAATTCTCCACAATGTTGCACTCTTTGTTCTGATGAGTGATTTAACATCTTGGATCACACTTCCACAACTTTTCAACTTAAAATCAAAGAAGCTACCCACATTCAATAGGAGAAACCTGCACTTAATCACCAACTTTATCATGTTAATTAAACACCTTCCTAGTAAATGCATGCATTGTTCTGTTTCTATTGTTTGTTTAGTCCAATCAGCATTTTGTTACACACTATAAATTCAACTTTGCACTATGTATTATTCAGAACTGAAGATGACAGAAGAGCTGTTAAAACATGTTTTCAAATTTAAAAAGTGTCGTTCATTTTCTGAACGTCAATTATATTGAAATATAAACTGGAAATTAGATGGCATCAGCTCTGCTTTGTTGTTATTAATAGTACCTGAAACATGTTCCTGTATTGTACACAGACAGTTCAGTTGTTCAGTTAGCCAGACACATAAGGCCATGAAGTCAGCTGTGAGACACTCCCCTTGGGTGGCAATAGTTAGAGCACCTTCTTCCAAAAGTTCACCAGTAAATCTTCACAACACAAATTTTAAAAAATTCAGTTTGTTACTCTTCGCTTATTTATAAATACAATTATGAAAATTGAAAGATAAATTATTGTAGGTATCGTTTGAAACTCACCCGAGGTCTTCTAGTGCATCCTGGATATCACCTTCCATTCTAGAGTATGGATAAATTAATTTCAAACTGATAGAAAGTTCTTCGACCCTCGTGGTAGAGAAATCCTGTACTGCTTAACGAAAATTAGCAGGCGTTGCCTTGAAACTAGAATCTAGTCCTCTTCGGATTAAAATCCTTGGCGCATAAATTACAACAGTAACCGCTGAGCTTAATAACTGCTTTCCATGTGACTCGGCAAAAAGAAAAAAATCCAAGATGGCTTCCCAGACTGGTTTGAAAGAAGTTGTGTCTCTTTATCAAACTCTCATAAAGGAGTGGAATAGAAAACCCGTTGATCTTGAGAAAGTTGGAAAGCTTCTGTCTGGAATGAAGGTGAGTTACATCTTGTGGGTTTCACCGTACTTTCCAGCGGAAAAACATGAGACATGGTTGGAAATTCACATTATCTCGAAACCATGCTCCATATTTCTCGATGAAATGTCCTTTTAATATTCTTAATTAACCCTTAGCATGCTGACTTTGAGTTCAGGTTACAATCCCTGAAACTGACAGTTGATCCTTTCAACAGCATTGAAAGCTTTACTTTTCATCAAATCCCAACAACGTATATATCAAATTAAAGTTTAAGAAATTTCCTTTCTGATTATACTATTATAATAAACTTTGAACCTAAGTTGCTTTTAAAATTTAGCTATGAAATCATGTTTTTGACAAAAGTTATACATTAACAAATAACACATCATATTAATTTCTTCCAAAAATCATCTGTACAAGCCTAAAATGGCAACCAGAGTTAAGCCCTAGTCCACCAACTTGATAAAACAATTCCTGTGACTGACAGCATTTTTATTTATTTATTTAATGGATACAGGTGCATAACAATAGGACATAAGTCCCCTACTTGGTTAATACACCCACACCCAGCCCCATAAAATATCCTGAAAAGAAATATCCCGAAAAAAGATCCCTTCCCTGATCCAACTAAACTACAATTCAAATAATCTAAATCACACAGAACATTTTAAAGTATACAAATTAACAACTTAACTTAACTTAACTTAACAAGCACAGACAGAAGAAGTATTTACATGGTGACACTAAAGACAAATTAATTTAAAAGAACAAAAATTGTCACCATCAAAAGCCTTCAAAAGTCTAGTAAAATAAAATGACTTGAAAGAGCTTATTGTCTGATTCCTTGATATTTTTAGGTAAACTGTTCCACATCAAAGTTATTCTGTTGAAGTAAAAGTCTTGAAAGGAAGACGTACAACAGGCATTTTTCTCAAAACAGTAGCAAGATTGCATATTTGTCAAGTTGACACATAATCAAATTAGGAATTTATATACAATGTTTGGTTTTGAATTAGTTCAAAACAGTCAGCTCAGTTGTATGGGTCTATGGTCTAAATTTATCTATTTCTGTGTTTGAATTGACTTCAAAACCTAACAAAACAAAAAAAAAAAAGATGAATAAGGGTTATGATCAATTAATCAATGGTTTCAGCATCCACATTGTCATTATTGGCATCATGTCTTTGAATGTAGGCAGCAACATAGTCCTCAACAGTGTGGTACAACTGGAAGCAGTCTTGTATACAGAGTGCTACTTTACAGATACTGCACTGAAAGCTAGACCCTTTCCTGGCCTCTTCCTTTTATCTCATGTCCTTTTTAGAATCTTTTTTTGGGCAGGAAAGCAAACCACACATGCCCGGGTGATGTTGGACTTCTTCTCAGTACCTAGTATTTTCTCTGGGAAGTGACCTCCTACTTGAAGGTGGGTTAAGCCTTCGGCTGACCTCCTTGGGCAGCCTCTTTGAGTGAGAGAATGGGAGATGCCAGAATTCCTAACAAGCTCCTTCACAAGCTCCCTTTGAAAGGTCCTTTGCAGCACAGGTGACCGGGTTCTTTGCTTGTTCAGGATGTAAGCATTCAGGATGCTGAAGGAAAACAGATGGAAGAACACTTTCTTCCACCATTTCATGGTGCGTCACCTGAAGCAAGAATAGGCCACCATCTGATCACACTTGTCAACTGCCCCCATCAACTTGTTGTAGTCATGTACAATCTGGGGTTTAGTGATTGGGCGCCCAGTTCCAGGGTGATTTCGGCCAAATTCTACATCTGCAATGGAATGAACTGATAACAGCATCTGGAATACTTTGCGGTCCTTAAATTTAACTGCTAGCAAAGTTCCATTGTTCTTGACAAACTTGTCACCTTTTTTTTTCACTTGTGCCCTTTTAAATTCCTGGAGAATACCTTTCCTGTAGCAGGCTATTCCCAGGCCCCAGTGTTCTGCCTATAGAGCTCAGCAAATAAAGTAGGTGATGTGTAGTAGTTGTCAATATACAAACACCTACCCACATTCAAATAAGGTTGCATGAGCCTCATGACTAAGTTATATGTTTTACCTTGGTAAAACATATAACTTAGGTGGTTCTTGGTTTACACCAGTGTAAATTTCAAACCTACAACAATACCCATTACTTGAGTCACACAACTGGTATGACTTAACACCATACTTATCTGGCTTGTCTGGATTGTACACTTTAAAGTGCACTTTTCCTCTGAATGGAATCACTCCCTCATCTATGCGAATATTTTTGCTTGGCTTCCAGACATCTGAAAAATTCCCAGTGACAACACTGTATATAGTGCCAGGCTTGTGTACTGGATTATACCCTTCCTGTCCTAGAGGAACATAATTATCATTATCGCACAAGTGGAAAAAGGTTAAAATGTTCATAAATTTGTCTCTTGACATAATTTGAGGGAAAAAGGGAGTAGACAAAACCTCGTCGGTGGACCAGTAATCCTGGATATTCTCTTGAATCATCAGGCCCATTGCAATTATGATGGCAAGAAAAGCTTTCAGATGTCACACCATCCTCAGGCCAATTTCTAAACCTTGAGTACTGAGGTAAATGATCTCTTCGCTGTTAAGATGTGATTGTTTCTGTTGCATAGTTATTTGTTTGGGATGCAATCTCATCGAATGGGTTTTCAGGGAATAGGAGATGAAAGTAGTCAGAGAATGATGGATTGTCAGGAAGCTCCACATTCAACCCTCAGTCGATCAGCTGTGAAGTCAAGCCTTTGCGGGATACGATCGCCAAGGACCCAGTTGTCTTCTTTGGTTTCTTCTTCGCTCTCCTCCTTGCCATCACTGTCTTCTTCTCTTCTGTCATCTTCTTCTTCGCTGCTTTCAGAATTATTGGTGTTTTCATCAAAATTGCTATCCTCTCCACCAACAACTTCATTGATAGTTCTTTCATCAACAAATGCAATATTGGCTGCCATCTTTGTTTATCAGTGTTACTGCTCAACAAAACATATTTCATGTGAATTAATTACTCGGATCTTTGGAACTCTGTCGGATGCTTAATTTATGTCCCTTGGGTAGGCCCATGACCATAAAACTACAGAAGTCTGACATATTCCGAACTTCTCTGCCAATAAAACGATGATGTTCGGAAACCCAGAATATTCTGGGACCCATCCACATGGGTTAAGTTTAATTTTTTTCCAAGACCTGCCTTAACATTCTTAGCTGAGGGTAATGCGAAGGAATATTGATTCATTTGACAAATATTGTTTGCACCACAGTTACCATAACTTGATAAAATCAATGATGAAAATTAATTTTTTGACTTCTAGATGGCTTTGATCCAGTTTTCATTCTTACCAACTTCTTCAGGCAAGCCAACTTACCAGGAACTTCTTTTAGCAAGTAAGTTTCAAGACTGATTCCTTCAACAGTTCTGATTGTATGACTCTACCTTTTTCAACAAGGTTTTGTGTAATTTACACCCACATAGGAATGTTCATGTTTTTCTGCACAAAAATTTTGTCCATAGGAGATGCATTAGAAATTGGTGTTCAATGGAGCATTTTAAAAAAGGACATACCATCATTTGAAAGATACATGGCACAGTTGAAACCATATTACCTTGATTACAAGTAAGGGTATTGAATGAACAATGTAGTTTCTGTGTTAGGTTATGGACAAGTAAGTATCCAAGTTTAATGCTTCATACGTTTAGAAAAGAGACATGGTGGCCTTTAAGTGGGTTCACTGAACTCTGTATTTAAAAGGCCTGGCTCTACCCCTTCTTGCAATGATGTTGGGTTTTGTTCTTGAACAAGATGCTTAAATCTCACAGTGTATGCCTCAACCCATTCAGGAGCATTAATGTTGATGGGTATGGAAAAATTGCCAGGAAAACTCGTTGATTTGTAGTAGGGTCGCCAAAAATGGAATAGCTCTCTTTATTCAAAAGAAGAGAAACTTTACTCCCTATCATTTACCTCATGAGAATAAGCTGCAGGGGCCAGTTATACATGTATCTATGGTGAATAATGCTATCCAATGGATAAATGGCTATCCACCTGATAAGTGATAACAAAATATGCTGTGCTATCCACTGGATAGATATTTATCCAGAGAATAGTACTAGTATTATCCAACCTTTAAAAAACTAGGGCCAGCACAGTAGGTTACGTGTCTGAACAGAAAGTAGTAATGTTTAAATATCTTTAAAATTTTTGGGAATAATCTACTTGATAGTAGTTTGATCTTTGTTGTGTGAATTCCATAGTTGCCATTAAGTGTAGTAACTTAAGCATTGGACTTGTTTAAATTTCACAGGGGCACTTTGGAGGAATCAGTTTATATGTATCAGCTTCTTGGGCTCAATCTGTTGTCTCTTCTTGCACAGAATCGTCTTGCAGAGTTTCATACAGTGAGTAGTAATAAAAAAGGATGAAATGAAATTATCTGCTTTGTCTTTTCCACTTCAGAAGTTAAATACTTTCAAGAGATTATTGAAGCTAGAACCATGTCTGAATATGCCAGTTGGTCCAACAAAAGTTGTCGTTGGTCTAATAAAAACATTATCTATGACAAGATCAATGGCCAACTGGATGAACCCTTTTAATTCCCAAGATCTGATTGTTATTTCTCCTTTCTGGCTGCTAAACATCTCCTCGTAAATTAGTCATGATAATTTTTTGTTAGATTAAGATAACAAGTTTTACATGATAATTTTGAGTATTCTCATTATCTGTTTGCTGGATAATGTATGAATATTATGGGGAAAAGTAATTTGCTTATCATGTAAGGGAGTTAAGGGGTTAAGATGCTTATATTTTGATATTTTTGTCCAACAGGAACTGGAACTTTTACCTGCTAAAGAACTTCAGAGCAATGTGTACATTAGACATTCTGTCTCCTTAGAACAGGTAACGGTCATGTGATTATATGTACTAAAACATATCCCTCAGTTGTACTTAACAACTACCTAAACTGCCACTGAAAATTCAAATATAAATTTTGTTGATACATATTCTATCATTTGAAAAATTGATTTTTATGGAACTTAAATATATGACTCTTCTGTTGTGTGAAATGGGTTTCGACCTTTTGATGCACAGTGTAGTAGTTAAATGTTATTGAAATGTTTTTTGCATTTTGTTTCAATAGTATCTTATGGAAGGAAACTATAACAAGGTATTTCTGTCACCACTAACTTATGTTATGGTATAGTGTTACTTATTTTTAGTTATTGTTACTTGTGTAGGTTGTGATTTGTATTTATTTTTGTAGGTCTTCCTGGCAAGGGGAAATGTACCAGCAGACAACTATCATTTCTTCATGAATATCCTCCTGGATACTCTAAGGTAAGTGAGCTTTAATGATGCAGTAAATGGGTGGCTATCAAAGCTTGGACAGATTTGGTCTTTTATCCACTGTTTATCGTTTGTACTATCTGTTAGTGTCTGTCTGTCTATCTCACTGCTTGTCTCTCAGACTATCTGTCATTGATTATCTGTCCAACTATCTGGCTATAATTTTCTGTTTATACTTTCCATTTCTGTCTATTTGGTTTGTCTGTTGGTCATTCAGTCAATCAGTCTGTGGAAAGCATATGTTTGTTTCTCTGTCCAATGTCCCTGTACATCTCATATGGGGAGAAGACATTCATGCAACTGATGTATCTACAGTTGTCTTTAAACTTATGGTATTTGAATTTACTTGTTTAAGAGATGAAATAGCAGCATGTGCAGAGAAAGCATATGAGCATATATCCTTCCCGGAGGCTACCAGGATACTTTACTTTGAGAGTGAAAAAGATATGGCAGCATTTGCTCAGAAGGTAACTATTATACTTAGCAATATATGTAGGGTTGTTACCTCTGCATTAATTTTGTTTAAAAAGATACTAATTAGGTACTGCATTTATTAAGAAGCACACACCAAAACAATAAATTTTAAATTTGACCAGCACTCATATATTGTTTAAACTCATGTAGTATATTCAGAATGTTAAATGCTTGTGTACTCTTTCCTTTAGCGAGAGTGGACTCTAAAGGAAGATAAATACTACTATTTTGAACCAGACCCAGACAAAGAGATGAAACAAGAAATTCCTTCTTACAAAATGATTAAAAACATGCTGGAGTATGCCAAAGAACTTGAGAGAATAGTTTAAAAGAAGATGTACGAGGAAACAACTCAGAGATTGCTGAGCAATGTACAGTACACTTTTTATTTCATTTGTAGTGTTTGTTATGTAAGTGAACAAATCAAATACAATTACTCAATACTAAAAGGTATAACTTAATTTAACTTTTGATTTTCTAACTTTGGAACTGGTTGTGTACTCAAGGTTGCAAATGTCTTTAGTACTGAGTTGACCAAATCAGCAGTTCCCAACCCTTTTAATATGCTTGTGGTAGGTGTTACAAAAAACACAACAATTGTCCATCAATAATTATACTTAAGGCAATCACATTGTAGAGCAATTTTGTGTCATTATTCTCCACTCTGAACAAAACTCTTATCATTTCCTACAACAGTTATCATGTTATTGAAATGAATTCCAGCTTTATAGAAGATCAAACACAATATACCCCCTCTGCCAACTTGTTAAGAAATTTAAAATCCATAGCCTGTGGACCCTTTTTTTGCTAAATGAAAAAGCAAAAATGCCAAATCTAAAAATTTGTTGATGGCATTGCAATGCACACATTAACAACACGACCAATGCAGTATCCACCTGGAGGAGAGAAAAAAATTGCAATGTGAAAAAAGAGTGATTTAGAGACTGAAAGTATGTCTTTAATAATACATTTTTTTCAGAGTACCCTCTTAAACTCTGGCAAACACTTTTACTAGAAAAATCAAATTATTGATTTCAAACACAAAATGTAACCCTTAACAAACTTTGAATGAGAGGGGGTAGACATTTTAGCTTACACAAGGTCTCCCACATTCAGCAAATATTGATTGATTCTGTTAATCCAGTATTTCAATATTAATATACTAAATTATTCTGAAAGACAAAAATCAATGTAATTGAGTATTTCTTTTACCTTGTTCATAAGCCTTTATGTGGAAGGAATTTGTTGCTCCTTGTATGTCACCATATATCTCATACACATTCTCAAAAAGGATCACAAGCCTTACTGCATCATCAATCACAAAGTTGATGCAGTCACCTAAACACAAAAGACATCATTATTTTTAAGTTTAGGACTGCAACATCTTAACACTGATTTTATGTTCCACAGTGCTGTCAAGTCTTGTGCATTGAGCTTGAGACTCAAGCAACTGAATTCAATCTTATTCATGCTTTCACACTAGAACTATTATTTTTCTTGCATTTAAGGTTTTTGATATAAACTGTTGATTTTTTGGTAGAAAACTGCTGTTTTGGCTAAGTAACTATGAAATTAATTCTCCTTTTAAATATAATTTACTTCTTGTTCCCTTTGGTATTGCTTAAAACATTTTTTACCAATGGAAATTCTCACTCAGAATTAAAGAATCACCTCTTAGCTACTTGATTTGTTCAAAATTTTCTGGGGGGGGGGGAGGCATACCCCAATAACCCCCTTCCCCCAAAGCTGATGCCTGGAATGTCACAATTAAAGGCTAAGGTCCCATTTTTACTTCAAGTGGGTTAACTTACTTCTTCATATGAGTTGATTATTGAATGCTAACTAGTGGAGACACTGGTCACTGTTAATAGATATATTGACAGTATATCACTTTCAGAGAAAAAATCTTCCATTTGATAATCATTATTTGTCACATTTACCTATACTGGTAAATCTGCAATCTGTACAAGTTTATACACTTCCTATTTAATTCCTAAGCTATGGTTACCTTTTACACATTTTATGAAATCTATGGCCAGTTTCTCAATTGCTTTGGCAATATCAGTCTCACTGCAATCTTTAAATGCCTTCACCACGTCCATAAGAGCTGTGCCAAACAACTGCAGTCCTTTGAAAATGTTTTTGTTTTGTAAGGCATCAAATGATTCCTTGAACGCTGCTACAGTTTGGTTTCCATCTTCAACACATTTTTCAAAATTAAAGCCTTCTTTGCCTAATCCTGCAGCAATCCCTCTGTAAACTTGAACCCACTCTTTGTCTTCTGTGCCATTGAATACAGTCAGGCTGGAGCTCACTGCATCAAAGAATCTCTTATTTACCCTGGGAGAAAATGATCAAAGTCAGTCAATACACCCTGTAGAATGTTCGATCTTGTTTATTTATTCCCATGAGATAAACATACTTAGCAATGGCTGTATAAGGGGTGCTTCAATTTTGATATCATATCCACAAATGGGGCTTTTTCATTATTGTTATTAGCTAGAGTTGCAATTTGGAGTGCTGATTTTTTAGAAAGTTTGTGCTGATACTTGAGAAATAGGCAGTAACACCCACTTACTCAGCAGTACCCATGCAGTGTTAGATGATTAATTTTAATAAAGAACACATACAGGTAGCGGTAGTCATATTTGCCATTGGGAAGATAAGATTTGAAAGTCAGAGATCCTTTAGGTAGTGGGTCTGCATTTGGATTCTGTCCTCCTCCAACATATAAGAAGTCCACATACATTTCATTGTCAGCACCAGATGGGTATACACCTGAAGAAATCAGTGCAAAGGCAATTGTCAGGGTAGATTTTAGAAAAAAGACTTTTTTATTACAGCTGAGTACCCAGATATATTTTAGGAGATAAAATAGCCTAACTGACCTATCCAATCCTTGTGTGTGGCCTCATCAACTGGTACAGACCATGAAACTTTAACTGGACTTCCAAATGCTGCTTGTGTTGTTGACAGGACTAGGGACCGATTCTGCTCAATTATCTCAACATCATCATTAGCACTTAGCTGGAAAAGTGAAAATTAAGTATTATTAACAGAGTTGATAACAAATTGGCCATTGTTAAGAGTTTAAAAGCTGACATTTCAAGTGACAGCCCTTCCCAATCACTCTGACAAAGGGCTAACACTTGAAAAGTCAGCTTTTAAACTCTGTACAGTGGCCAATTTCTGTTATCAACTCAGTTCATGATACTAAATTACCCTGTTATACTCTCCCATTGATGCAGCACCACAGTTTCTTTAGAAACTTAACCTCTCTGTTATTTTGAACACTTGATAGCAAATCCTCAGTGATGACCAGCTCATTTAATCTCACTAAGTAAAAATTTTATGAAAATCATATTACCCTTAAGGTCTGAGAGAACGATATAACTGAACTTACTGCATATGCTGCCCACCATCCTTTGTCATCATTAATGATGGTGGAATGACTGGTCAAGGCTGATACAGGACGCCCAATATATTGCCACGGGTTCCACTCCTTACCACGTTCAAGCTCCCACATGTGCCACAGGCCACCTTTGTTTCCCACTGTGAATATCTTCAAAATAAGACAGTCTTTATAGTTTTACAAACTTGATCAGAAGTAAAATGTCATTTAGCAATTTCTCTAAATAACATGGTGTTTCAAAATGTGTTTATGTTTCAATATTGTTTTAAAATAAAGTTATAATAGTATACTTTATTCTATTTCTTTGACATAGTAATTGCCATTCCATCACTCCCTTAAGGAAACTATGAAAACTGCGCACTGTTAAGTCATCTCAAGATATTTAACCCTTTGACTCCAGAGTGACCAGCTTCTAATTTCTCCTTACAATATCACCCCAAAATGACACACTGAGGTCATGAAAATAAAGGAAGTGATCAACAACTGAAGAAACTCTTGATTGTTAAGAAAATTCTCCTTGTTTAGCACCTTTGGAAATGTTGAGAGAGCTGTATAGAGAATATGGAATCACGCATACTGATTTTAGGGTATAAAGGGTTACAGTGTTTTGGGGTTACAGTATTTTTCCAAACCACAGGGCAGTAAAAACTCCATGCTTACCTCAATTCCAAGATGTATATTAGCCCCAATACTCAAAGGATTAAAAGAGGGGTCAGTCATTGGAATCTTGTCACCAATCTTATACCACAAACTCCATGTGCACCACCCCCAAGGGTTTGGAACCTTATCACAGGTTGTTTGCCATATATGGTGAATGTAGCCATCATCACCATATATGAACACATTGAGGACACCATTGAATGTACTGTGGCTCATTTGGTGCACTACTGGGGCATGCTGGGTCTCTGGGGCACCATATCCTGTTTCATCCCAGGAAACCCATTTTGTTGGACCTAAAGGTTTCAAAATGTTTTGAATTTTAAGGTATGATTCAGAGCTTGTTTGAGTATTGTATCCTACTATATTATCACAGAAATTGACTTTTTGTACCTGTTTGCCAAGTTCTATACATTTTGTTGTTTTCCATGATGGCAAATGCTTCCAGATACTGAAGAAATAAAGATGTATCATAATTTTCTACAAACAGTAAATGGTTCCTACCAAAACTAATAAATAAAAGACTTATCCAAGCATTATTGCATATAACTTGCATTACTATGCACTCTGTTGAATAAACCCAGACTGACTTTCCATACCTTTGAGAAACCATTGTAAGCTATTGCCACATCAGAATTTAATGAAACAGATGATCCACCAATAAGAGCCCAGTCTGACCAATTACCATTGACTTGCTGTGACCAGTACAGATGGGAGGATTTTGTCACTGATCTTGAGAAGACAGTCAGCTTATTCTGATAGTTCACTACAGACAAAGTGTCTTTTCCTTTCAGAGTCACTCCTTGAAAGCAATATTTTTTATAGTTTAAAATCTGCAATTCTTAAAATTAGAGTTAAAACTACAAGATTTTTCACCAGACTTGAAGATTTAACTATGAGGGAGAGAGGGATCTTTGGTACATGTTGGGTTTCTACATGTCTATAGGGCAGTTGGGGTTGTGGGGTTTATACAACCCACCTCCTTGTCAAGTTAGGTAAGTAATTAGAAAAAAACAGTTCATATGCCAGTAAGCCTTAAGTAAGACCCCCCCCTTTCTTAACTGAAAAAAATCTTGTTTACACCCCTGAGATTCTTCAAACTTTGTGCCTCAATCTTCCCTTTCATGAGAATTGCCTAAAGATTTGAGAGGCTCCCCCTTTACAACCATTTTGGGTTTTGGCATGAAATGCTTGACAATGAAGTTATATCAATGTTATAATGTTATATACCTGCTTCAAATGGAATTTTAGCACTGATTGAAAGCCACTTTCCAAACTCAAGAGCTGTGCCATCAGCCTCTTTTTTGAGGAAGTAAACTTGTCCATCATCACAAAGACAAAATACAAATGTCTGATTGTTGGAATCATGGATGGCCACTGGGTTTGAAATTATTGATTTCCCTTCAGGAGAGCCCATATCGTGCCTGAATTGGACAAAGGGTAAAATGAAAGACTGGACAAAATTTAAAAAAATTATGCACATGTGTATTGTAAAGAACCTTGATACAGTTCAGTTTTCCAGGTCCTTTTAACTTATTTTGTAAATGGCAAGCATCAGCAACAAGGCTTTTCCTCTCTATAGATATTTACATATTTAAGTTAACGGCAAGACATCTTCTTAAACCTTGAGATAATTAGCATAAAATGGCAGATCTGACCATCACCAGCTACACTCCCACTTCCTCTCCTCTTCCCCTTCTTCCCCCCCCCCCCCGAAACTTAAGCTTTTGTTTAGAGCTTGAACGCGAATAAAGAGATCTAATAAGGCTCATTTCGTTTTAATCTTTTTCAATCTCACGTTTAAATAAAAGGTTGCTACATAAATATTTACATAGTCGCTGTGCCCATAATTGATTTCGCACGCTTTGGCAGGATATCGTTTGGAGTTTAAGGTACATATACACTGGGAATGTATCTTTACTTAATTAACAAACTCACCAATTTGACCACTGCTCCTTGGCATACTGCTGGTATCTCAATTTCCCTTGGTTTGCGTGGAAAGCGAAAACAACCTCCATCGGAGGTTGCTTGCTTTTTAGAACGGCTAGACGGTCTTCGATGCTCGCTGTTGGCGTCTTACGTTGATATGATGCACTTATGGAAACATTTATAATCATTAAAAGAAGAAGTAGCCGGCAAGAGGACATTGCAACTCTTCTATTTCTCCGTGACAAGGACCGCCAGAAAATGTGACTTGTGTTGATGAACGGAGACGATAAACCGGAAATAAATTGTTATCACGAGACTCGCTAGCCTACTTGTAGCCGTACCCTCCCCCGCAAGGTAAAGTGGAAGCAAGAGAACCTTGACTCCGTTTCACCTTGGCGGGGGGAGGGTACGGCTACACGTTCGCTGGAGACTTGGACGCGGCTAGTCATAGGTAACCCACTCAACCCTGATCCCTAAGGTGTACGTTCACTTGCAGCATACAAAATGCACCCAAATTTCGGTGATAACACTTTCATAAAATCATTTTACAATTCAAACGCCTTGCATCCAACAACTTTACTTTGTTAAGCTTTCAAATCATGTCTATTTCCATTGGATAATTTGTTACAAAATGTTCTGCAAGATCCTTGTGGACTAATCTCCCCGTAACACACCATGACAAACTACCAAATTATGTTGAATTTCCTCTTGGACTGGGAATCAAAATACAAGCATGTTAGCGAGTGTACATGACTTCATTTCTTTAATGATGATAAAATTGATAAAAATTGTAACGATAATATTAGTGATAATAATAATAATGATGATGATGAGAAAGATATCATTGATAACAATTATCGTAGTATGTCTTCCAGTTCTATTCCACAGGTTCCTCTAGGTAAATGTTTTGCCTGGAAATTTACCAAAATTTCGTTAATTTATTTCATCCAAGAAAGCTTATTATACATCTTCAACTTCCCTACTTTCCTCGACTATTTAAAAAAGACGGCTAACGCTCAACAACGTTTTACGTCTTCAACAATCTTCCTCACATCTTTCCAGCTTAGATTCAGCAAGTCACTTGCGCTAATCAAACTTCTGCTAAAGTCCTCAATCTCTGTCCTGCACACCACACAGCGGTGCGATGACTTCTGAAGAAACGCAAGCTTCAACGACTGCCAAGCGCACCAACTGCACACAACCACGTGTTCGCAAGGCAAAGTTTGGATGCACGCTTCAGCTTCTAAACACACTGCACAGCGCTTTTCCACCCAACAACTCGCACTGTCCTTTGTGTAGATTTCCTCCTCACCACGAGGACTTCCTCCGTATAGCTCTAAAAAGCGATCAATGATCATTGGAATCTTTTCAACATCTATGGAGTAAAGCTCTTTGAGAAGATGTCGTTGTTGCCTTGTCCCACGATCTCTTTGTGCACGTTTAAATCCGCACCAAAATAAAACCAACGAGGAAAAACAAAGAATGTATACCGCAATCATAGAAATTATCGAAAGTCCACAGAGTTTGAAAATTAAGATGCTGGAAATGTGGTTGAAACCTAAAAGACCTGAAAATGCGGAGAAAACTTTAACAAAACTCCAAAATCGAAAGAAGGACCCGGAAGGTGAATCCATATATTTTTTTCCCTTGGCTCTTGTCAGGAAACCAAAAGATACGTGAATCGATTTCAAAACTTAAACTCCAATTTTCTTTTTATGGCAAGATCCTTTGACTATCCAGCTGTTAATATTAATAGGGAGATTTAGCTTTGCACGAGACCCGAGCCTGTTTTTCCACCAGTTAGCCATGAAAAGAAAATCTATACCACCTGTAGTCTGTGTCTTACCTTTGGTAGAATGAAAAGCACAGGTCAAACTAACTTCAAACGGAGGCTTCGCAATACAATTTTATTTCACTCCTTTTTTTTTATTTGGGATGAGTAACGAGAAATACGTAGCATATCACAAGGTCTTCATTTTATTAGCGCCGCATGATAGATTTGAGACGAGTCGGGGAGAGGTTTGCCGGGAGTCTGGCACCAATAGTACCCATTAATCAGTGCTAAACGTAGATCCTTTGCAGTCCTCTCGCTCGCCTGCGTTGTTAGCACGCTTGAAAGATTAACAATGAGGGTCTGCACGCAGACTAAGATCAGTACGTCAATTTTTCACAATCCCTGTAGATCGATTCGTGCGCAGTCGTGCGCGACTCTGTTTGTCCTTATTTTGGTCGAGAGGCATGAATGTTAATAAGAGTGATACAACGTGATAAATTGTACTGAGTTGTGTGTAATTGTAAACAAGTACGGCTTAGAGGTAAAAACGTGACTGGTGAGGAAGAGCCACTTCATGATGATGTCATCCACGACTTCTAATGAGGTTATGCTGAGAAGCATTCATCAGATAAGGGACCATTCATTAATTATCGTCTGGGAAGGGCGAGGGGAAAGAATTGTGAGGGAGATCATATGGTTTTAAGGGGGAAAGGTAATGGAGGGAGGGAGGGTAAGTCGACGCCAACAGAGCATAAAGAGCGAATTGATTGTCAATTAACTCTCAGTAAAGGGAGATCATAATAATAGTATTTTATCATGACACAACAAAAATCCTCCACACCCCTCCCCCTTCCCAGATGATAAAACAATGACCGAACCTTTATCTGAGGAAACTAATGCTTCTCAGCACAATCTTCGTCCCTAAGAAGTTCTATTTTTGTTAACACTCACGTTTTGTGCCCTTAAATATAAAAGGTACTAAGTTATATTGTGCAACCTAAATTTATATTTCAAGGCAGACATTTTTCTGTTTACGGGTTTGTGAAATATGTTTGAAATGCGTTTCCAAACTCTGTCAACTGATTTCCTATCCTAAATGAAGCGTCTGTATTCGAAGTGTTTTATATTTCTGTGATACACAATACGCATTTATGCACCAGCCTGCATGGAAGACAGCTTAAAACAACTGGTTGACTTTGACCTTCGTAATTGAAGTTGCTCTTGCGTGGGCGAGTGACGTCACATGATCATGAATTTTTTTTTTCTATAAATGCGGCAGCAGGAAGCCCGGCTTTTAGTACTATCTCAGGTCCGTTATCATGGCTGCCTCGTCTTATCAGCAAAGCTCAGTTACAGTGCAACTGGAAGGTGGTAAAACGTTCATCTGTAAGGACGTACTTCCACAACCCGGAGGTGTCGTCTTGGATCTGGGCTGTGGTACTGGTGAGCTGTCTGCGTTCCTTGCTGAGCTTGTGGAGCCACATGGACATGTTATTGCTGTTGATCCTGACACCAATCGACTGAATTTGGCCAAGGAAACTCATCGTCATGTAAAGAACCTCTTCTTTGTGGAAGGGAACTCTAATGAGTTTCAAGGCATGGGATCTAAAAAGTATGACCTGATTTTCTCCAACTTTGTGTTTCATTGGATACCGGACAAGGACAAGGCGTTCAGGAATATGTTTGACAGTTTGAAAGCCGGCGGGAAAATTGCCATACATTACATAGACGCCTTACTCCCCTTTATAACTACCTCATTTGAAGTGCTGAACCCGGAGACAGCGGAAAAATTCAACAAAATGTTTTGCTTCGATACCAGAGATAATATAGATTGCATGTGCCGCGCAGCAGGATTTGATGTCGTGAGCAGCTATTACGCCTATGATAAAACGGTCGTTTATCCCAGTGTGGAAAACCTTCTACAGTGGCTAGTAGGTACTTCACATGGAGTTTTCGATCTACAGCTTGTCACCCAAGAAAGAATTCAACAACTATTCGAAAAGTTCGGAAACCCACCGTTCGACTTTACTGCCGATAGCAGGGTGAGTAGACTTCTAGCTGTGAAGCCGAAATCCCAAGCACAATGAACACAAGCAGCCCAAGCCCACGCAGTCAATCGTTTGCTAGAAAATGCTGTTCAAGCTGGCTTCTTAAGAACTCGATTTGGTTCTTTGTACAGTGGTCCGACTTGAGATGGAAGTTATAATTTTCTAATAATCATATTACTTTAATTTTAATTGTACACCCCTGGAATGAAAATATGTCAGTTGATCTCCCTAATCGAGTCCTATTCTATTGTTGACCAAAATACACCATGCAAATTATATTTGGGCGGCTCAATTTAACAAGTAGGTACATTCTAGGATAATTTTAAAAGTTACTACCATCTTAACTAACCAGCAATACAGGATTATATTCTATTCGGAATACAATGAAGATTTAATTCTGCGTTGTGCTAACCCAGCCAGTTTTGTACGCAGCACATCAATTAGCTGAAAGAGCATGAAAATTTGTGCTGTGTTTACCAAATTAGAGAATTCCTATATCCTATATGTCTGCTCTATACGCGAAACACGAAAAGTCATCTTTTTTTGTTGATATTTAGTAAATAAACCCGTCCCGGAAGCAGGCATGTCGGCTGATGATGTCTGCGGCCGAGAGACTGCCCAAAAAATAGATATTTGTCCGAGGAGCAAAGCTTCGAGGGCAAATGTGACACTCTTATGCTTCCCTTTTTTCCATCGGTTTTGTTTCCTTTCGGCGGAAATAATTGGAGGACAAATGTCAATATAGACAGTGCCTAGTGCTTGATAACTGTCCTTTGAGTGTGTACCACGTGATGTTGACGAGCCAATAAAATCATGCATAATTTTTTTGGCGGGTTATAAGTGGATGCCGTATTTCCTCGAATAAGTGCCCGGGCGCTTAGGATTTAGGGTTTAGGGTTTAACGAACGGGCGCTTATTAAAAATTTCGAGTAAAAGAGGGGTGCTTATTGGTCCTTGAAGACTTGAGAATGGTCTAGTTGCTCCTGAGAAGTTAACCGTGTTCACCAAACCACGGCAAAAGGACAATATTTAAGAGAGCAGTAAGCACAGGAAGATAGAAAAACTGGGAGTGACTTATAATTAATGAAAAATAAGCTTTTCTGGTAACAACAGTACTTAAATGGGACAAAAAAGGAAAAACTGGTGGTACAATGTTCATACAGGTTTTACTCGGTCGGATTTGGCTATTTTTTAATTTAAATCTGAAACTATGGAGAGTTGAAGATTCTTTGGCTCTCCTGCAATCCTACAAAACAATATGTTTTACCGATAATAATCAAATAGTTAGGAGGAGGCGAGAGTAGAAGATTAGGATATTACGCCGATGATTAGCAGCAAACCCAGGGCATGTCATTCCTTTATTAGCTATGCTATCCTGCAGCTGATCCTTAAGCCATCTTTGTATTTGCTGATCTATACGACATCCTTGTATTTTTGGCGGTAACGGCCGCCAAGGCATCTCGCCGAAACCACCAAAAATACAAACCGCAAATGGAAGAGCGATCTGCTGGGGGCATGACGTCATCGAATGTGAAGACGAAACCACCAAAAATACAAACCGCAAATGGAAGAGCGATCTGCTGGGGGCATGACGTCATCGAATGTGAAGACTGGCGCGAAACCATTACATAGTGTAGTCGCTGTGTGGAAGAGTCTTCACTTCGCCTTGCCGTAAAGCAGAGCCAATTCGGTAAGTTCCTCCTCTTTTTTTCCCTGCCGATATTGCATTTATTCGTTGTCGTTCATGATAGTGTTAATTAAAAGAGCGAGACTGGATTCTACCACGGTTTACCGGCCTCCCGGTTTACCACAGTTTGCACGTGTTGGTGAGCCTGAATTTTAATAGTATTACGTAGTGTTATGATGTGCATTAAATGTCGATTGCCGAGCTCTCATATCTTTTCTTTTCTGACTCGCGCTTACTTTTCAAAGGGGAATTTAACTTCAACGGTTCTTTGAACATTGCAGGAGTACGTGAGAAGTTGGATTTTGTGTGTGCCCTGGACGCCATGGTCACGCAACTCTAGTCAATATATCTAGTGTGTACTGAACTCAGTCTGTAGCAATAATAATAATAATAATAATAATAATAATAATAATAATAATAACAATAATAATAATCACAAAAATTAATAGTTGAGGTACAGAAATGTAAAAATAAATAGAAATATAAATAAATACGTCTACCGAAACAAACGACGAAACAGCAAGATGTCCTGTCAATTGTCTGAATTATGCAATAGTTTTTATTCAGCAAGTTGCGACTGTAACAGATTGAACGGTAAAACTCGACCTAGAGTTGGACAATTACGTACAACTAATTGCATTACGGTGTCCGCACTAGCGTTCACCAATTAAAGCATTCCGATATCACTTTGATCGAAAAATGTCAAAACAGATCAAGGATATCAGTTTTCTTACCATGGCGTCCAGGGCTTACACAATATTCAACTTCTCACGTACTCCTCCAATGTTCAAAGAGCCATTGAAGTTGGACTCTCCTTGAAAATTAAGCGTGAGTCGGAGAAAGAAAAGAGAGCTTGACAATTGACATTTAATGCACGTCATAGCACTACTTAATACTATAAACTGTGGTAAACCAAGAGGCCGGCAAACCGGGGTAGAATTCAGTCTCGTTGCTATTTTAATTGACGCTTTCGTGAACGACAACGAATAAGTGCAATATCAGCAGTGAAAAAATAGGAGAAACTTACCGAATTGGCTCTGTTTTAAGGCAAAGCGAAGTGAAGACTATTCCATACAGCGACTACGCCATGTAATGGTTTCGTGTCAGTCTTCACATTCGATGACGTCATGCCCCCAGCGGATCGCTGTTCCATTTGCGGTTTGTATTTTTGGTGGTTTCGGCGAGATGCCTTAGCGGCCGTTACCACCAAAAATACAAGGATGTCGTATAGATCAGCAAATACAAAGATGGCTTAAGGATCAACTGCAGGAGCAATTTAATGTTCAGATAGAGCGTCTGATGTTTTGCAAAGCTATTCGACACTATTTGTGTCTACGCTGTACCATTCTACATTACGCTGAGCCATTTCACACAACGCTACACTATTTTTATGTACGCTGTACCATTCTACATTACGCTGAGCCATTTCCCGCAGCGCTACACTATTTTTATGTACGCTGTACCATTCGACATTACGCTGAGCCATTTGACGCAACGCTACACCGTTTGTGCGCATGCTGTGCTACTCGACGTTACCCTGAGCCGTTTAACGCAACGCTACACCGTTTGAGTACTGTATTGCAAATTAGTGCTAAGCTATTCGTAATTGAGCTAGTCCATTTCACAATCTCATGTTCCAACTCAACATGGGCTACTAGACCGTTTCTCATTTTGCTAAACTATTCATGTTTAGGGTGTTCTGTTTCACGAAGGAAAACTAGACTGTCTATAATTTGGCCATGCCATTCTTTCAGTATTAGCTATCCTGCAGCTGATCCTTACACCATCTTTGCTGATCTATTTGACATCCTTGTATTTTTGGTGGTGACGGCCGCCCATACCTACACATTGTTCACCGTTCTCTCTGATTAGTAATTGAATCTGCGAACACTGCACTCCTTTCTTGTTTAGTGCGATCAAGCGTGGCACGAAATCATTTTGTCTTAATGTTCATTTCATGCAAATGCGTGATAATTGCTCGTTATCATTGTTATGGAAATTTGATAGGACTGAATATTAGCATTTATTGTAGACATTCTGGAACAGTGACTCTTTACAACGTTCCAATAAGATGAACACTTATCCTTTGTATCTGCCCAATCCGTGAAACACGAAAATGAGTTTCGTTGATTTTTTGCTATGATCTTCGAGAATAACTAGCTACTAGCTACTAGCTAGCTCTATGAAAAGAACTCTGACGAATTCCTAATTTGAAGAGAACAAGATATACTGAAAATACGTTCACATAAAATTCCGTGACATGTACACTGGAAAAATTGGCTAATTTGACAGTCTACAAAGGAGGAAGCAGAGATATTTTTATATCGGTTTCGCTGCAACCAACACACAATAGTGATCACCTTCACCAGGAAACAACTTAAATGGTGAAGAATTTTCCCCACTTGTGTACCGAGCGCAGAAACTTGCCAGCCTGTCTTTTCTTATCAGCTTGGGATCAAATAAGCCATGTGAACTTGCCCAGAAAAACGAAATCATTCCTTCTTCGTTATCAAATACATAGGCATCACTTTTCACGTCGTAACTCTTCACAGTATCAAAGCCGACAGCTGCACACATCTCTTCTATCTTTTCTCTCTCTATGAAGTGCCACTTGCTTAATAAAGCGTTACAGTTTTCTGGGATAAGTTCTTTGAAAAAGCGCTCAAACATGATAGCCAATGAATCTCCGTACGACAACAGAATTTTCCCGCCTGGTTTAAGGCTCTGAAAAGAGTTCTTGAAGGCCTCATGTTTGTCCTGAATCCAGTGAAGCACAAAGTTGCAAAAGACAACGTCGTAACACTGTGATCCCATTCCTGGGAAGTTTGAGGCGCTTCCTTCTTGAATGGCAAGATTACTGATTCCTCCATGTGTTTTCTGGGCCAATTTCACTCGAGCAATGTCAGGGTCCACGGCTACAACTTTTCCATCTCTTCCTACGAGCTCCGCCAAATAGGCAGACAGTTCTCCGGTGCCACATCCTAAATCCAAGATGACATTTCCAAGGCATGGTTTAACATTTTCAATTAATTTTCTGCCCAAAGATCTTTGTATCGTAGCAGAAATTTGCTGGTAACCCTCAGCTGCTTGTGCACTGTTTACCATGATTGATGACAGACGGAGTCGGTACGGAGAATGATTTCACGATCAGGTTGAACTGTACTCTGATGCTAACCACAAGGGGGTATCAAGAGGCCTTTTATAATCACAATGCTGAGTCATAAGGTTACGCTTGAAAGCATTAGTTTCATCAGATAAAGGACCATTCATTATTCATCGCCTGGGAAGAAGGGAGGGAGGCGGAGAATACGCGGGGGAAATATCATATGGTTTTAAGGGGAGAGAAGGTAACGGAAGGGTGATCAGTTGAGGTCAACAAAGCATGAAGAGTCAATTAGCTCTCAATGAGGCGAGATCATAATAATAGTAGTTTATCATGACAAAACAAAAATCCTCCACACCCCCTCTCCCCAAGAGATAAAATAATGACCGGACCTTTATCTGAGGAAACTGATGCTTCTCACCATAACCTTCGTCCCAAAGAAGTTCTATTTTTGTTTGCACTCACGTTTTTTGTGCCCGCGAATGAAAAAGGTACTAAGTTATAATGTGCAACCTAAATTTGTATTCAAGGTAGACATTTTTTTGTTCACGGGTTTGTGAAATATGTTTGAAGATGACGTTTCCAAACTCCGTCAACTGATTTCCTAGGGTCATATGTTGAAAAGCTAACATGCTTAAAGGCTAACTATTTGTTGATTGCTTTTGGTGTTACCCCTCAGGTCAATCACCTTTTTGAACTCTGAAAGGCGAGAAGGAAGTCTTTTAGTCACCCGATTTGAGTAGGTACTACCATTACATCTCGTCCAGCGCTCTACCAACTGAGCTAACAAGCCAACTAGGAGCTGCACTAGTATCGCAGAGGTCATGGGTTCATATCCCGTACAGGCCTAGATATTTTCGGGCCTTATTTTCACCACCGGTTAATTAGTGTTCATAACTGCGAAAATCGCTTTCACATTCGTTTCTTCAACCGCAGTTCACATACATGATTTTCATATATTCACAGTCTTTTTCTCTACAGTTATTCTAAAAGCAACTAGTCGAGTTTCTGTTTCAAGGAGAATTGATTAGAGCAGTATTCAAGAGTTCCAGCCTTTTCATGCGTAGGTTAAATATAAGTCCTTAACATAAAATCAAAGAAATGGTAAGAAGTCTACAAAGAAGCCTAAAAATCGTAATTTTCTGCCGGAAGAGCTGTGATGAAGGTAAGATATTTTTTACCAGGAACGACTTTAATGGCAGAGAATTTTCTCGTTTGTGAACCGAGCGCAACTTGAACTTGTTAACCTGTCTTTTGTGCGTGACCACCTGGGGATCAAACGCACCAGCTGTAATGCCAAACATGTCACATGATGTATCCTCCTCTTTGAATGTTTCCCTTTGTTTTACATGAGATTGCATGAAAAAGAAAAAAAAAAAAGAAAACATAGAAGGATGTGACAGGCTGTCTTTTCCCTAAGAATGACTCATCTCGTGTGGTCACGAATGTATGTTCAATAGCTGTGTTTATTTCACGGTTCACTGTCCAGAATTTAAAAGTGAGTCTTGTGTTTTTATCAGCCAGCGGCCTACACCTCCCCCGCCACCTAAATGACGAGAAAGAAAAATGATTTAATAACTCCGGCCAACCAACTTAAGAATAGCAGAATTGTAGTTGGTCGGTCAGTCAGTTAGTGAGTCAGCCAGTTAGTGAGGCAGTCAGTCAGCGAGTCAGTTAGTGAGTCAGTTAGTGAGTCAGTTAGTGAGTCGTTGAGTACGGTTAGCTAGTTTATCAATAAAGGGCAAAATTACTGAGCGCTGATTGGTTGAGAGTGAAGGCATTTTTTCTTAATCGAGGGCATTTTTAGTAATCAAGAGAGGGCATGATTACCTGTTAATGATTGGCTAATCCGTGCGCGCGTGATTTTCCTTCGTATAAATTTTGCTCTTTATTGATAAACAAGTAATCACTTAGTGACCTCGTACTATTAGTGAGTCAGTTAGTGAGTCAGTGAGCGAGTCAGTTAGTGAGTCAGTTAGTGAGTCAGTTAGTGAGTCAGTTAGCGAGTCAGTTAGCGAGTCAGTTAGTGAGTCAGTTAGTGAGTCAGTGAGCGAGTCAGTTAGTGAGTCAGTTAGTGAGTCAGTTAGTGAGTCGCTGAGTACGGTTAGCTAGTTAATCAATAAGACAGTCAGTCAGTTTGTCGGGTAAAAAGGCAGTGTGACTCAGTTCTATTGATGATACCTTTCAACGGACGTTTTACTCCTCATGAATACACATGAAAATGTATTTGAGAATGCATTTGTAATGGGTGGGGATGGAAGAGGATTTAGCTTACCTCCTCCAGTTCCAAAAGCACAATCCACAGGGATACCACCGTCAACTTGAATTTTGCTGTTCGGATTGCCATGTAATGATTTTGTAATGATGACGACACTTCCACCCGCACCACTCCCCCCGGGAGCTGATCTATGTGCCTTCACGTTGAGGCATTCCCCTGATTGTCCTGGAGGATTAGAAAACAGAAAACAGCGGGAACATTGGCGATACAATACCACTTAGTTGGAGAATGATTAGGTTATTATAGAGAATAATCAAAACAATGCATGTTCTGAGTTGGATTTCCTGTGATCAACAGTTATCCGGTAACTTATTACCTTTCGATTCAATTTTCCCCTCCAACGTAATCTCCTCAAGAAGAAGATACACCAAGCCACCTCCATTTCCTCCCCTCCCCCCCAAGTTGGTATCATCTGTAAATGCTGAGCCACCTCCACCACCCCCTCCTCCACCGTAGCTTAGTCGTTTGGTGAAATCTGTGTTGCCAAACTGCATTCCACCTAAATGAGATATGCAACAGTTTGTGAAGAGAAAAGACAGTTTTTCAAAACCAAATTTATCTAAATGAAAAGCTATGAATGATATTGGCATTTCATGACGTAATAACGACTGTAACTGTTTTGTGATTGTTCATTTTTTCTAATCGCTTACTACGCCAACTCGACTTGGCAATTAACTTCCATCGTAGACACGAATGCTGGGTAGTGTTTTCGGTATCGCAGCTGCGTTTGTTAGTCCGATCAGTACTTTGATGAGCTTCCTCATTCAAAATGGGAAACGTTGTTTCAACATCATTTGATCTCAGTTTACTCACCTCCTCCTCCTCCCCCACCATAAGAAGGATGACACGACGAGTCACCTAAAATATAAAGACACAATAAATGCTAACTGACTCTTCATCCTCTTGCGAGTAGCAGGAGTGAAATGTTTCTTCATTTTTTTAACTATATTCTTATATAGTTGATTATTTCCTTATGATACCGTGGTTGGAAAAGAATCACCCTTGAAACAAATACATTCGAGCAACACAGATAACCAAAATCACTGGATTAATTTCTCCCAATTTGAAAAGAATCCTGCTCGGTTTTTTCTAGCCTGGGAGTCATTAGCTTTCCCATCCATTGTTTACTTCATCGATGACTGACGTTGGTGTTCTTAAACATCAAGAGACAAGGCTGAAAAGGTCAATAACTTTTGTTATTCATCACCTCCTTCGCCCCCTCTATTTCCATTCCCTGCTGTTCCGCTGCGAGCTGAAGCACAGTCCCCTTGAACAGGCTGACCCTGCTGACCTCCATTTCCACCATTCCCGGCTGTACAGGCTGCCACCCCTCCACCACCAGCGAACGCATTTATCTGCGAGGGAAAGGCGGAAGCTACATCTGGATTTATATCCCATATGACAAACATACAAAAAACGGCAAAACAGAGTATTGACTTACAACAGTTGAAGCTGTTCCTCCTGTACCTCCCTTACCGCCACAACCAGTTCCGGCACCACCACCCCCACCACCAGAAAAATGTCCACCGCCTCCTCCTCCACCTGCGCCATCATCACTATTAACTGTTGAGTCACCTCCTCCCCCTCCAGAGTTGTATCCTCCAGGTCCACCCTGTGAGGCTAAATATGAGCAAATATCACAGTTATCATAATTATCATAAACGTTTTTCCAACCATTGATATTAAAAAAATTTGTCATCGATAGTAAATGATGTGTATGGTAAGGAAAGTATAACACAACTAACCATCACCATCCCCTCCACCTCCCCCTCCAAGTCCATTTGTGTTTATGCCCCACGAAGTTCCACTAATATCTCCTCCTTTCCCATTGGTTCCTGTCTGAAGGTACAAGAAAGACTCGCCACCATACCCGCCCCCACCCCGTGAGTCACCGCCTTGCCCACCACGAAATCCTACGAAGGAAATTAAAATCAAGTCATTAATCTCAGAAATAACGTTTAATGATAACCTTTTCCTTTTCAGGAACTCTCAACTCTTGAAAATAAGCTCTAACTTAGTTAGCATTGCAACCCAAAATTAATTGCTAGTTTTTCTTGTTGGCCTGAACGAGAACAACCCTCATTCGTTGCCGGTGCCTCCAGGCTGCATTAAGGCTTGTTATGTTGAAATTGTGTTAGAACAATGTACGATAAATTTGAAAAGTTTTATCGTTTCAAATTTTTTGTCGTGCAAGGAATCTTGGAGCGTAACATTAAAGTACAGTTCAACATTATGTGCGGTCTACCTAGACCAGTGGTTGATATCACTGAAGTTCCATCGATGCTCAACGTTTTTGCTCTCAGAGCCAGTATCCCTCCATGACCACTGTCTTGCATTCGACATGTCAGAACACACTTGTTCCAGAGGGTGACATTTTTGAACGTTGGAAATAATTGGGCGATGGTGTAACTGTCACTGGACTTAACAGGCTGAGTGAAGGCTCTGGTCAATGTGAGATCACAGCTTAAACAAATAACCATAATTGTAAAAATAATGTTAATTTATATTACTTGAAAGTGCCCTATCAGGGGGATGAGGAGATACTTGGAAAAAGGAAAGAAGAAAAGAAAGAGAAGAAAAGGAAGAAAGAGGAGGAGGTGGAGGATGAAGAGTTGAAGGGGACTGAGAAGGAGTGGATGGTGAGGGAGGAAAGGAGGAAGAAAATGAATAATAATGCGAGGAAAGGGTAATGGAGAAGGGGAGAGGAAGGAGGAGGAGGAGGAGGAGGAAGGAGGAGGAGGAAGGAGGAGGAGG